TGGTGGGTGTAGTGGTGGTGGGAGTGGTGGTGCTTAGCGGAGTGGTAGAGGTGACTGTCGGCGTTGGTGTTGCAGAGACGGGTGTGGGTGTCAATGGCATTGGAGTGATAGGTGGAATGTGGGTGATGGGTGATGTTGTGGTGGTTGGGGTGTGCGTGCTTGTTGGAGTAGATTTGGTGGAGGTCGTGGTGGGGGTAGTTGGAGTGGTGGGGTGAGAGGTAGATGTGGTTGAGGGCGAAGTGGTACTGGTGGTGGGTTTGGGCGTCGGCGTGGGGGTGGTCTTTGGCGTGCTGGCCGTGGACGACTCTGTGGACACAGTGGTTCTAGTGGTCGTTGAGGGTGATGTGGTTGGTGTTGTTCTGGGTGTCCTAGTGGGAGGTGGCTTTGTTCTGGGGGCTGGAAATTAAAAGAAAGGGAAACAGAGGTGAAGGCTTTGTGATAAGAAGGCAGAAGAAAAGTAAATAGTAAGAAGAATAGTAATAATAATAATAATAATGTAAATAACAACAACAACAACAATAATAAAATGTTATTTACATACTCTCCTATCTCCTCAAAAGGACTCACAGACTTGTACAACAAAGGCAGCAAACATTGAAAGTTAGCAATCGTTCAAAATAGAGACAAATCAGGCAAAGGAGACATCCCTTATGTCAGAGGTCCTTACCTGGCGGGGTGTGTGTTGTGACGGTGCTGGGCGTTGTTTCTATAAAGGAAGGGGGCAGAGGAAAGGAACATTAAATACTTGTATTGGAATTAAGAAGAGCCAGGTGTGGGCCCACTGCATTTCTGAGATTTGGGAGTCTCGGGCCAGTTACGTGAAGGCTGAGGTCCTGTCTGGCTACCCCATTTAGGAGGAGACGTCCAGACGGCCCTCCAGGTTTTAGAGGGAGTCCAAGCAGCTTAGAAAACATCATGAGTGGGGAAGGAACGTGTTCCCCATCTTGGCGTTTTGAGTCGGTGGGGAAAACATACCTGTCTTGGTGACGGGGTGAGTTGTAGTCGAAGAGGTTGTTGTGGTTGGAGGCGTGGTCGTTTCTGTGGTGGTGGGTGTAGTGGTGGTGGGAGTGGTGGTGCTTAGCGGAGTGGTAGAGGTGACTGTCGGCGTTGGTGTTGGGGGGACGGGTGTGGGTGTCAATGGCATTGGAGTGATAGGTGGAATGTGGGTGATGGGTGATGTTGTGGTGGTTGGGGTGTGCGTGCTTGTTGGAGTAGATTTGGTGGAGGTCGTGGTGGGGGTAGTTGGAGTGGTGGGGTGAGAGGTAGATGTGGTTGAGGGCGAAGTGGTACTGGTGGTGGGTTTGGGCGTCGGCGTGGGGGTGGTCTTTGGCGTGCTGGCCGTGGACGACTCTGTAGACACAGTGGTTCTAGTGGTCGTTGAGGGTGATGTGGTTGGTGTTGTTCTGGGTGTCCTAGTGGGAGGTGGCTTTGTTCTGGGGGCTGGAAATTAAAAGAAAGGGAAACAGAGGTGAAGGCTTTGTGATAAGAAGGCAGAAGAAAAGTAAATAGTAAGAAGAATAGTAATAATAATAATAATAATGTAAATAACAACAACAACAATAATAATAAAATGTTATTTACATACTCTCCTATCTCCTCAAAAGGACTCACAGACTTGTACAACAAAGGCAGCAAACATTGAAAGTTAGCAATCGTTCAAAATAGAGACAAATCAGGCAAAGGAGACATCCCTTATGTCAGAGGTCCTTACCTGGCGGGGTGTGTGTTGTGACGGTGCTGGGCGTTGTTTCTATAAAGGAAGGGGGCAGAGGAAAGGAACATTAAATACTTGTATTGGAATTAAGAAGAGCCAGGTGTGGGCCCACTGCATTTCTGAGATTTGGGAGTCTCGGGCCAGTTACGTGAAGGCTGAGGTCCTGTCTGGCTACCCCATTTAGGAGGAGCCGTCCAGACGGCCCTCCAGGTTTTAGAGGGAGTCCAAGCAGCTTAGAAAACATCATGAGTGGGGAAGGAACGTGTTCCCCATCTTGGCGTTTTGAGTCGGTGGGGAAAACATACCTGTCTTGGTGACGGGGTGAGTTGTAGTCGAAGAGGTTGTTGTGGTTGGAGGCGTGGTCGTTTCTGTGGTGGTGGGAGTAGTGGTGGTGGGAGTGGTGGTGCTTAGCGGAGTGGTAGAGGTGACTGTTGGCGTTGGTGTTGGGGGGACGGGTGTGGGTGTCAATGGCATTGGAGTGATAGGTGGAATGTGGGTGATGGGTGATGTTGTGGTGGTTGGGGTGTGCGTGCTTGTTGGAGTAGATTTGGTGGAGGTCGTGGTGGGGGTAGTTGGAGTGGTGGGGTGAGAGGTAGATGTGGTTGAGGGCGAAGTGGTACTGGTGGTGGGTTTGGGCGTCGGCGTGGGGGTGGTCTTTGGCGTGCTGGCCGTGGACGACTCTGTAGACACAGTGGTTCTAGTGGTCGTTGAGGGTGATGTGGTTGGTGTTGTTCTGGGTGTCCTAGTGGGAGGTGGCTTTGTTCTGGGGGCTGGAAATTAAAAGAAAGGGAAACAGAGGTGAAGGCTTTGTGATAAGAAGGCAGAAGAAAAGTAAATAGTAAGAAGAATAGTAATAATAATAATAATAATGTAAATAACAACAACAACAATAATAATAAAATGTTATTTACATACTCTCCTATCTCCTCAAAAGGACTCACAGACTTGTACAACAAAGACAGCAAACACTGAAAGTTAGGAAACGTTCAAAATAGAGACATATCAGGCCAAGGAGACATCCCTTATGTCAGAGGTCCTTACCTGGCGGGGTGTGTGTCGTGACGGTGCTGGGCGTTGTTTCTATAAAGGAAGGGGGCAGAGGAAAGGAACATTAAATACTTGTATGGGAATTAAGGATAGCCAGGTGTGGGCCCACTGCATTTCTGAGATTTGGTAGTCTCGAGCCAGTTACGTGAAGGCTGAGGTCCTGTCTGGCTACCCCATTTGGGAGGATCCGTCCAGACGGCCCTCCAGGTTTTAGAGGGAGTCCAAGCAGCTTAGAAAACATCATGAGTGGGGAAGGAACCTATTCCCCATCTTGGCGTTTTGACTCGGTGGGGAAAAAATACCTGTCTTGGTGACGGGGTGAGTTGTAGTCGAAGAGGTTGTTGTGGTTGGAGGCGTGGTCGTTTCTGTGGTGGTGGGTGTAGTGGTGGTGGGAGTGGTGGTGCTTAGCGGAGTGGTAGAGGTGACTGTCGGCGTTGGTGTTGGGGGGACGGGTGTGGGTGTCAATGGCATTGGAGTGATAGGTGGAATGTGGGTGATGGGTGATGTTGTGGTGGTTGGGGTGTGCGTGCTTGTTGGAGTAGATTTGGTGGAGGTCGTGGTGGGGGTAGTTGGAGTGGTGGGGTGAGAGGTAGATGTGGTTGAGGGCAAAGTGGTACTGGTGGTGGGTTTGGGTGTTGTGGGCGTGGGGGTGGTCTTTGGCGTGCTGGCCGTGGACGACTCTGTGGACACAGTGGTTCTAGTGGTCGTTGAGGGTGATGTGGTTGGTGTTGTTCTGGGTGTCCTAGTGGGAGGTGGCTTTGTTCTGGGGGCTGGAAATTAAAAGAAAGGGAAACAGAGGTGAAGGCTTTGTGATAAGAAGGCAGAAGAAAAGTAAATAGTAAGAAGAATAGTAATAGTAATAATAATAATAATAATAATAATAATAATAATGTAAATAACAACAACAACAATAATAAAATGTTATTTACATACTCTCCTATCTCCTCAAAAGGACTCACAGACTTGTACAACAAAGACAGCAAACACTGAAAGTTAGCAATCGTTCAAAATAGAGACAAATCAGGCAAAGGAGACATCCCTTATGTCAGAGGTCCTTACCTGGCGGGGTGTGTGTCGTGACGGTGCTGGGCGTTGTTTCTATAAAGGAAGGGGGCAGAGAAAAGGAACATTAAATTTGGATGGGAATTAAGAATAGCCAGGTGTGGGCCCACTGCATTTCTGAGATTTGGGAGTCTCGGGCCAGTTACGTGAAGGCGGAGGTCCTGTCCGGCGTCCCCATTTAGGAGGAGCCGTCCAGACGGCCCTCCAGGTTTTAGAGGGAGTCCAAGCAGCTAAGAAAATATCATGAGTGGGGAAGGAACGTGTTCCCCATCTTGGCGTTTTGAATCGGTGGGGAAAACATACCTGTCTTGGTGACGGGGTGAGTTGTAGTCGAAGTGGTTGTTGTGGTTGGAGGCGTGGTTGTTTCCGTGGTGGTGGGTGTAGTGGTGGTGGGAGTGGTGGTGCTTAGCGGAGTGGTAGAGGTGACTGTCGGCGTTGGTGTTGCAGAGACGGGTGTGGGTGTCAATGGCATTGGAGTGATAGGTGGAATGTGGGTGATGGGTGATGTTGTGGTGGTTGGGGTGTGCGTGCTTGTTGGAGTAGATTTGGTGGAGGTCGTGGTGGGGGTAGTTGGAGTGGTGGGGTGAGAGGTAGATGTGGTTGAGGGCGAAGTGGTACTGGTGGTGGGTTTGGGTGTTGTGGGCGTGGGGGTGGTCTTTGGCGTGCTTGCCGTGGACGACTCTGTGGACACAGTGGTTCTAGTGGTCGTTGAGGGTGATGTGGTTGGTGTTGTTCTGGGTGTCCTTGTGGGAGGTGGCTTTGTTCTGGGGACTGGAAATTAAAGGAAAGGGAAACAGAGGTGAAGGCTTTGTGATAAGAAGGCAGAAGAAAAGTAAATAGTAAGAAGAATAGTAATAATAATAATAATAATAATAATAATGTAAATAACAACAACAATAATAAAATGTTATTTACATACTGTCCTATCTCCTCAAAAGGACTCACAGACTTGAATAACTAAGGCAGGAAACATTGAAAGTTAGGAAACGTTCAAAATAGAGACAAATCTGGCAAAGAAGACATCCCATATGTCAGAGGTGCTTACCTCGCGGGGTGTGTGTCGTGACGGTGCTGGGCGTTGTTTCTATAAAGGAAGGGGGCAGAGAAAAGGAACATTAAATTTGGATGGGAATTAAGAATAGCCAGGAGTGGGCCCACTGCATTTCTGAGATTTGGGAGTCTCGGGCCAGTTACGTGAAGGCTGAGGTCCTCTCCGGCTTCCCCATTTGGGAGGAGCCGTCCAGACGGCCCTCCAGGTCTTAGAGGGAGTCCAAGCAGCTTAGAAAACATCATGAGTGGGGAAGGAACGTGTTCCCCATCTTGGCGTTTTGAATCGGTGGGGAAAACATACCTGTCTTGGTGACGGGGTGAGTTGTAGTCGAAGTGGTTGTTGTAGTTGGAGGCGTGGTTGTTTCCGTGGTGGTGGGTGTAGTGGTGGTGGGAGTGGTGGTGCTTAGCGGAGTGGTAGAGGTGACTGTCGGCGTTGGTGTTGGGGGGACGGGTGTGGGTGTCAATGGCATTGGAGTGATAGGTGGAATGTGGGTGATGGGTGATGTTGTGGTGGTTGGGGTGTGCGTGCTTGTTGGAGTAGATTTGGTGGAGGTCGTGGTGGGGGTAGTTGGAGTGGTGGGGTGAGAGGTAGATGTGGTTGAGGGCGAAGTGGTACTGGTGGTGGGTTTGGGTGTTGTGGGCGTGGGGGTGGTCTTTGGCGTGCTTGCCGTGGACGACTCTGTGGACACAGTGGTTCTAGTGGTCGTTGAGGGTGATGTGGTTGGTGTTGTTCTGGGTGTCCTAGTAGGAGGTGGCTTTGTTCTGGGGCCTGGAAATTAAAAGAAAGGGAAACAGAGGTGAAGGCTTTGTGATAAGAAGGCAAAATAAAAGTAAATAGTAAGAAGAATAGTAATAATAATAATAATAATAATAATAATAATAATGTAAATAACAACAACAATAATAAAATGTTATTTACATACTGTCCTATCTCCTCAAAAGGACTCACAGACTTGAATAACTAAGGCAGGAAACATTGAAAGTTAGCAATCGTTCAAAATAGAGACAAATCTGGCAAAGGAGACATCCCTTATGTCAGAGGTCCTTACCTGGCGGGGTGTGTGTCGTGACGGTGCTGGGCGTTGTTTCTATAAAGGAAGGGGGCAGAGGAAAGGAACATTAAATTTGGATGGGAATTAAGAATAGCCAGGTGTGGGCCCACTGCATTTCTGAGATTTGGGAGTCTCGGGCCAGTTACGTGAAGGCTGAGGTCCTCTCCGGCTTCCCCATTTGGGAGGAGCCGTCCAGACGGCCCTCCAGGTCTTAGAGGGAGTCCAAGCAGCTTAGAAAACATCATGAGTGGGGAAGGAACGTGTTCCCCATCTTGGCGTTTTGAATCGGTGGGGAAAACATACCTGTCTTGGTGACGGGGTGAGTTGTAGTCGAAGTGGTTGTTGTAGTTGGAGGCGTGGTTGTTTCCGTGGTGGTGGGTGTAGTGGTGGTGGGAGTGGTGGTGCTTAGCGGAGTGGTAGAGGTGACTGTCGGCGTTGGTGTTGGGGGGACGGGTGTGGGTGTCAATGGCATTGGAGTGATAGGTGGAATGTGGGTGATGGGTGATGTTGTGGTGGTTGGGGTGTGCGTGCTTGTTGGAGTAGATTTGGTGGAGGTCGTGGTGGGGGTAGTTGGAGTGGTGGGGTGAGAGGTAGATGTGGTTGAGGGCGAAGTGGTACTGGTGGTGGGTTTGGGTGTTGTGGGCGTCGGCGTGGGGGTGGTCTTTGGCGTGCTGGCCGTGGACGACTCTGTGGACACAGTGGTTCTAGTGGTCGTTGAGGGTGATGTGGTTGGTGTTGTTCTGGGTGTCCTAGTGGGAGGTGGCTTTGTTCTGGGGGCTGGAAATTAAAAGAAAGGGAAACAGAGGTGAAGGCTTTGTGATAAGAAGGCAGAAGAAAAGTAAATAGTAAGAAGAATAGTAATAATAATAATAATAATAATAATAATAATGTAAATAACAACAACAACAATAATAATAAAATGTTATTTACATACTCTCCTATCTCCTCAAAAGGACTCACAGACTTGTACAACAAAGGCAGCAAACATTGAAAGTTAGCAATCGTTCAAAATAGAGACAAATCAGGCAAAGGAGACATCCCTTATGTCAGAGGTCCTTACCTGGCGGGGTGTGTGTCGTGACGGTGCTGGGCGTTGTTTCTATAAAGGAAGGGGGCAGAGAAAAGGAACATTAAATTTGGATGGGAATTAAGAATAGCCAGGTGTGGGCCCACTGCATTTCTGAGATTTGGGAGTCTCGGGCCAGTTACGTGAAGGCTGAGGTCCTCTCCGGCTTCCCCATTTGGGAGGAGCCGTCCAGACGGCCCTCCAGGTCTTAGAGGGAGTCCAAGCAGCTTAGAAAACATCATGAGTGGGGAAGGAACGTGTTCCCCATCTTGGCGTTTTGAATCGGTGGGGAAAACATACCTGTCTTGGTGACGGGGTGAGTTGTAGTCGAAGTGGTTGTTGTAGTTGGAGGCGTGGTTGTTTCCGTGGTGGTGGGTGTAGTGGTGGTGGGAGTGGTGGTGCTTAGCGGAGTGGTAGAGGTGACTGTCGGCGTTGGTGTTGGGGGGACGGGTGTGGGTGTCAATGGCATTGGAGTGATAGGTGGAATGTGGGTGATGGGTGATATTGTGGTGGTTGGGGTGTGCGTGCTTGTTGGAGTAGATTTGGTGGAGGTTGTGGTGGGGGTAGTTGGAGTGGTGGGGTGAGAGGTAGATGTGGTTGAGGGCGAAGTGGTACTGGTGGTGGGTTTGGGTGTTGTGGGCGTCGGCGTGGGGGTGGTCTTTGGCGTGCTGGCCGTGGACGACTCTGTGGACACAGTGGTTCTAGTGGTCGTTGAGGGTGATGTGGTTGGTGTTGTTCTGGGTGTCCTAGTGGGAGGTGGCTTTGTTCTGGGGGCTGGAAATTAAAAGAAAGGGAAACAGAGGTGAAGGCTTTGTGATAAGAAGGCAGAAGAAAAGTAAATAGTAAGAAGAATAGTAATAATAATAATAATAATAATAATAATAATAATGTAAATAACAACAACAACAATAATAATAAAATCTTATTTACATACTCTCCTATCTCCTCAAAAGGACTCACAGACTTGTACAACAAAGGCAGCAAACATTGAAAGTTAGCAATCGTTCAAAATAGAGACAAATCAGGCAAAGGAGACATCCCTTATGTCAGAGGTCCTTACCTGGCGGGGTGTGTGTCGTGACGGTGCTGGGCATTGTTTCTATAAAGGAAGGGGGCAGAGAAAAGGAACATTAAATATGGATGGGAATTAAGAAGAGCCAGGTGTGGGCCCACTGCATTTCTGAGATTTGGGAGTCTCGGGCCAGTTACGTGAAGGCTGAGGTCCTCTCCGGCTTCCCCATTTGGGAGGAGCCGTCCAGACGGCCCTCCAGGATTTAGAGGGAGTCCAAGCAGCTTAGAAAACATCATGAGTGGGGAAGGAACGTGTTCCCCATCTTGGCGTTTTGAGTGGGTGGGGAAAACATACCTGTCTTGGTGACGGGGTGAGTTGTAGTCGAAGTGGTTGTGGTTGGAGGCGTGGTCGTTTCCGTGGTGGTGGGTGTAGTGGTGGTGGGAGTGGTGGTGCTTAGCGGAGTGGTAGAGGTGACTGTCGGCGTTGGTGTTGGGGGGACGGGTGTGGGTGTCAATGGCATTGGAGTGATAGGTGGAATGTGGGTGATGGGTGATGTTGTGGTGGTTGGGGTGTGCGTGCTTGTTGGAGTAGATTTGGTGGAGGTCGTGGTGGGGGTAGTTGGTGTGGTGGGGTGAGAGGTAGATGTGGTTGAGGGCGAAGTGGTACTGGTGGTGGGTTTGGGTGTTGTGGGCGTCGGCGTGGGGGTGGTCTTTGGCGTGCTGGCCGTGGACGACTCTGTGGACACAGTGGTTCTAGTGGTCGTTGAGGGTGATGTGGTTGGTGTTGTTCTGGGTGTCCTAGTGGGAGGTGGCTTTGTTCTGGGGGCTGGAAATTAAACGAAAGGGAACAGAGGTGAAGGCTTTGTGATAAGGCAGAAGAAAATAGTAAGAAGAATAGTAATAATAATAATAATGTAAATAAAAGCAAAAACAATAATAATAAAATGTTATATACATACTGTCCTATCTCCTTAAAAGGACTCACAGACTTGTACAACAAAGGCAGCAAACATTGAGAGTTAGTAAACGTTCAAAATAGAGACAAATCAGGCAAAGGAGACATCCTTTATGTCAGAGGTCCCTACCTGGCGGGGTGTGTGTCGTGACGGTGCTGGGCGTTGTTTCTATAAAGGAAGGGGTCAGAGGAAAGGAACATTAAATATTTATGGGAATTAAGAAGAGCCAGGTGTGGGCCCACTGCATTTCTGAGATTTGGGAGTCTCGGGCCAGTTACGTGAAGGCTGAGGTCCTGTCCGGCTTCCCCATTTGGGAGGAGCTGTCCAGACGGCCCTCCAGGTTTTAGAGGGAGTCCAAGCAGCTTAGAAAACATAATGAGTGGGGAAGGAACGTGTTCCCCATCTTGGCGTTTTGAGTCGGTGGGGAAAACATACCTGTCTTGGTGACGGGGTGAGTTGTAGTCGAAGTGGTTGTTGTGGTTGGAGGCGTGGTCGTTTCCGTGGTGGTGGGTGTAGTGGTGGTGGGAGTGGTGGTGCTTAGCGGAGTGGTAGAGGTGACTGTCGGCGTTGGTGTTGGGGGGATGGGTGTGGGTGTCAATGGCATTGGAGTGATTGGCGGAATGTGGGTGATGGGTGATGTTGTGGTGGTTGGGGTGTGTGTGCTTGTTGGAGTAGATTTGGTAGAGGTCATGGTGGGGGTAGTTGGAGTGGTGGGGTGAGAGGTAGATGTGGTTGAGGGCGAAGTGGTACTGGTGGTGGGTTTGGGTGTTGTGGGCGTGGGGGTGGTCTTTGGCGTGCTGGCCGTGGACGACTCTGTGGACACAGTTCTAGTGGTCGTTGAGGGTGAAGTGGTTGGTGTTGTTCTTGGTGTTGTACTTGGAGGAGGTCGTGTTTTTGGTTCAGGACCTGGAAAGAAAAGAAAGGGTGAAGAGCAGTTATTGTTTTGATGTGTGAAGGAAGAAATGGAAGTAGAGGAAAATCCGGCCTAAGGGGACTTCCCTTCTGACAGACGTCCTTACCTGGTGCAGTGTGTGTCGAGATTTTGCTTGTGCTGCGTGTTTTTTCTAAATGGAGAAGGACACAGGAGGTTAAATTTAGAAAAATATGAGGATGGGAATATAACAGTCCTAGGTCTAAACCCACCGCAATCCAAAGATTTGGTGATCTCATTAGAATTACTTCATTGTCAACTTGCCTGTGTTACAAACTGCCAAAATACATTTTTAGGATAATTTAGGAACGTGCAACAGTTTGTTATGCTAATCATTCAAGTGTGATTATTTACCAGAAGTAGTCACAATGGTTTTTATCTCATGAGATGTAGTGGATGGACCAGTAGTAGTCTCTCTAATGCTGTGCGTAGAGGTCATTGGACCTGTGGTTGTAAGAGTGGTTGAAGTTGTTTCTGTAGTTGGTGTAATACTGGAGGGAGTGATTTTAGATGTGCTTGAAGTAGCTGTTTCTGTTGATACAGTAATTCTTGAAGTAGTGGATAGTGAACTGGTTGTTGTTGTTTTCGTTGTGCTTGTGGGATGCTGTGTTTCTGGAGCTGTTCTGGCTGGAAGAAAAGTAGCCCAGTGGGTATCTGGACGGAATTTTGAGAAGGGAAAAGCGAAGATAAGGTCGGCTAATTGAGCCATTTTGTTCATACTTCCTGATTCAATTACTTACGCTGAGATGTTGAAGTTGAGGCTGCAATGGTAGTTTGTGTTGCTGGAATAGAAAATTGCAGAATTAAAAATGTTCCCCATGAGAAAGTAAAAAGCCAGTGAAAACTAGGTTCATCATATATCATTTGAGCAATTGAGGAGAAACTTGTAATTTTATTTAACAGAACAATGCTCATTGTTTTTTCAATAGTTTCTAGTCAAGGATTTCAAAGTGGCACTAAAGATGGTGAAGCTATCTGATGCCCCATCCACACTACCATATAATCAAGTATCTGATACCAGATACTTGATTTCCAGTATCTGATACCAGATACTGATTTCCAAAACCTGGGAAAAATAGATAATTTATCAGTAAGGAATTGTTTATACAAAATATGGGCTACAGCCCTATCAGAAAAGTTAGCAAACAAAATAAGAGTAACAAAAATGAAATTAAAAACTTATTTTGCATTACATGGAAACGATACTTTAGTTATTTGTGTCAAAACAATGCCAAATCAAACCACCATATGATCAAGTGACATTTTGGATTAACAACTAGATAAAGCACCATTATTATGACAAGCAATGGTGAAAAATGCAGGTATTTGATGGAACTGTATTTTAAAATGTATGTATTGGGGGAGGGATGGGTATGGGTATTTGTTTGGAATGAAAGGGGTAACTTGTTGCATTATAGATATTGTATTAATTTTGACAGTCAATAAATTTAATCTTTTTTTTAAAAAAAAAAAAGTTTGACAGCACTGCTGAGTCCACACAAAGCATTATTTGGCTCATTCATGATTAGGTGCAAAGCAGAAACAGATGCACATAACAAGGTGTGGACACACCGTAAATTATGAATAACTAGTAATGTATCTGTATGACCCATTCATTATTATCGGGCAGTATTGGCAAATGGACACTTTCCTTCACTGTAAAGATTGTGGATTTGGATCTATATTTTTGCTTCCATTAGCAGAACCATCCCCTACTTTGAGAGTAAAGTATGGAGCAAAATAGAGTTCTACATAATTCTGCCTGTGGGATGGAGGGAGATATCATTGATATAATTCCCAATTTCCCATGCAGATCATTGTGTCCTTTGATATCCTCTGAAGATTTGCAGATCTTCTATGATATTATAAAAGAAGGTGTGTAATGAGGAGGGAAGAATCAGGGAAAAAATATCTTCATTGAGGTTTTTTTTTTTTTACTATATCAAAAGCCTTCTATCAACAGACCTATCCATCACATTCATGTAAGACTAAATTGAGTCTACTCACTAAAAGGAATCATGAAATTTTAGCATACATTTGAAAAAATTGTACTCACCTGCTGGTGTCGGTGTCAGTGTTGGTGTGGGTGTTGGTGGCGGAATACCTGAAAAGATAAATATGTGAGAATAATGTGGAATACACACTGTTTTATAATATTAAAGTGGTTCAGGGTTTGGAAGACAAAAGTCTCCACCATTTTCTTTTCTTTATGTGTGTGATTTCATGGCAGGAGACCATAGGAAAATAACATATGCTGTGAATTGCAAAAGTACAGCAAATTGTGGTTAGCCATATAGACAAAAGTTTGTGGTTATATGGTTTCCCTATGCAGAAGAAGAAGAGAGGTCATCAGTGGTGCCCAACTAATTTGTTAGCAGTATTGAGCAGTGTTTAAATAATTTATAACAATATCAGCTTTTCCTTGATGAAAATTTCTTTATATTAACAAATCATATTCTTTGTCTTATCTGTTTTGCAATTCTGTGTTTTTTGTGTGTGTCAGGAGTGACTTGAGAAACTGCAAGTCACTTCTGGTGTGAGAGAATTGGCCGTCTGCAAAGACATTGCCTAGGGGACGCCCTGATGTTTGATGTTTTACCATTCTTGTGGAAGGCTTCTCTCATGTCCCTGCATATATTGAAAGCAGATGTTTGTTTACAAAAACATAAGGAAGAATTCTAAGTTCTATACAAATGCAGAAGTGTCCAGCTACTGGAAAATGTTTTTCATAAGCATCAGGATACATTTTCAGTGTTTTTTAAGGACTGTGATTGCTTTTTTTTACTGTATACAGCAGTGTCTTAAAATGTGAGTCTGCAAGATCTGAGAAACAGTATTGATAAATGGGTAATTTGGAAGTCTCTCATTCATGGTATCCCCGAAAGTAGATGTCAACTTGATGATATTTGATAACAATGACTTAAACCACTATAACAGAGACTACACTTCTTATAGTGAAGCAAATTGTATTGTTTGCTTGATATGATTTCCCAGTATTTTCTCAACATGGGATCTAAAGCACTTTACAATATAAAATTGAATAGATAACATAAATATCCAATTAAATTAAAACAGCAATTTAAACACTAGATGGATGTCAATATGACTCTTCAGTGCCTAAATATTAGGATCAAAATCCATCTTCTGTCTAAAATAAACTATATTGCAAAAGAAGGCTGTAATCATTTGCATTTTATGCACAGTAAGGAAAAAGTGCCAGTAGAATCAGTAAACATATAATTGACTTGGAAATGTATTTTCTTAGTTCTAAAATTATTCCAAGCAAGGTATCTGAAAGTGAACATCTTTGCTTACCACAGGGCACGCACGATTTTGTCTTAGGATTATAGTATTCATCTCCTGAACAGTTGTAACAACCTGTGAGTAAAGAAAGAATACATTTATTGTCCAGGAGACATGCAGCAAATATTTTAGGTAGATTTAAGGACCAGAAAAAGATTCAATAAAGCCCACTGTCAATTTGTAAAGACATACTGAAGATCTAATTAAAGATGCATGCTTTCAAGTAGGAGAGTTTAGTCCCATTTTTTCCCTATGAAACATGTAAAAGTTTTAAAAACATCTTGTCCACTTTCACCCAGCTTCCTAGTCGTATTTGGATGGAACATTTTAAATAGTATACGAACCCCATATCAGTAGGAGATATGTATCTGGATATTGCATGCATATGTGGAACTGTAGATAATAGTGAAAGCTATTATTTTCAGTAGGGCAAATGCAGATGTGTTGAGAAGAGGGCATAGCTTGCATGGAAACCGCATATATTGGTTCCATAAATATGGGGGTCATTCAGCATTTTTTTTTTAAAAAAAAACAACCACTGTAATTTTATTTAATTATTTTGTCTGTGAATTAGTAAGGAAGGCATGGTGGCATCTTCTCGAGACAAAGATTGAATAAAGGGTTTAGGTTGAGCCTTTAATTTCCTGCATTTCAGATCATAGTCTCATGCTCTGTTTGATAGTAGCAGTTGAATCAGAACAAAACATGGCAGGCTTCTGGTTCATAACAAGAGATGTGGGGGGAAATCTGACTAAATGGTCTGCTTTCAACAAAACACCCTGAAGAGAGTTCATTCACTTTGAGGCTTCTCACAATCAGCACAAGAAAGACATAACGGTTATTTTTTTTAATGAGATTTCTGCAATTTGTATTAAAAGCATAGGGGGCCAGGCTACATAAGTAATATATTACATCAAAATAAAACAGAACAAAAAGACAGAGCAGAAATACTCAAGAGAAGAATTGTTAGACAATTTTGAACTGATATTATGTTGGCAATGAATAGTTTTAACATGTCACCTGCCAGCAGGGAAAATTATATTTGAAAGACTTCCATGCACAATTCTTTATGGTTGCTTAAACAATTGGCCAATCCAAGTTTGCATTTAAAAAAAATAAAGAATGTTACCTTCAATATTGACACCCACTGATGTTGACATGTTTAGACATTTACAGGGCCGATAATGCCAGGTGCAATTTAACTCATTAACGTAGTAATAATAGGTGCCAACCATGCCACTCTTCTTATGGGAGTTGAAGTAGTCACAATAAACAGCTAAGATAGAGGAGAATGTGATTGTTACTATGGATATTACATTTGTAAAAAACAAAGCACTAAAACAAAAACACAAAGAAGAAAGTGTTGTTGAAACATCTTCATCCTCCATCATCGGATGCATTGGCTGGGGCTACAGAGAAAAAGATCAGCAACATCTAGAATCCATGAAAATCATACTCCTTATCCTTAACAGAAGACAAGTTACCTGTGGTCTAATTGTTCATCACTACAATCTTTTCACCAAAGAGCTCTAATAAGCTTTTGAGACATACAACAGATCTTTAGGGCATAGTTTCAAAATACTACTCTCAAGACATACTAATTCTTTCTCTTTTAGTTTCTGTTACAAGCAAACTTAAAAAGTGTGATCTTGTTCTGCATATTATTATATGAACATATAAAGCTCCTACTATAGCTTTAAAGTGATAATTAGAAACTTACGACAGAAGTCAGGGGTTCTCCAATCAATGCATACACCAACATCTAAACAAGCTTTTGCATACACTGCAATGGCATCACACATGCATTCACAGTCTCCTCCAGTGTCACATCCACATGAATCACGGACACAAGCTTCATAATATGGCATCCGGTATACCTAGAGCAGGGAAAGAAGCAATAAACTGGAAGTTATGTGTAAGCAAATATTTATTTTCAAACACAATATGAGACCCACACCCATCTGGTATCTGTGTGGAAAATATATTTCCAAGTTTTGAATGGATATGTGAAACCATGGATAATAGCAAACTCTATTGAAATAAAAGACAGCTAGAGTCATATAATCATAGAGTTAGAAGAGGCCACAAGGCAGAGGGTTTTGACTGGATGGTCCTTGTGGTCCCTTCCAACACACAACCAAAGCACACCCTGGCTCAACACCACCATAGAGCAGTGATTCTCAACCTGTGGGTCCCCGACAGCTGGTAAATTGGTTGGGATTTCTAGGAGTTGTAGGCCAAAACACCTGGAGACCCACAGGTTGAGAACCATTGCCATAGAGTCATACTGGAGGATCCAGAGAATGTTTACAGATAACATATTTTTCAGTAACATAACTCAGTCTAAATTGTGTGTTTTCAGTCTCTATATTGAGACTGTATTTTATTGTTGACAGTGTAAGTGCAATATTTTAAATCACAATTTAGCCAAAACAAATTTTGTACATCTGTGATTCCTGCCACCTTCCAATTTTTTAACCATCTACCCTGCTGAAGAGTTTTGGAGATCTCAAAGGCTTGTGTGGCTTTTCAGTTTCTATTGATCACAATACAAATAATGACCATCTGAATTTTTTTCTTCCTGAATTGAAGGACTACAACATGTCTGGATCTTATTGTTAATCTCAACAAAAATAAATCCATTAAATTAACAAAATTTGCACATGTTGATTTATTAGGCTACCATTAATTCAATGGACATCTTCTAGTTGGGACTTTGAACTGGATACAGGCTGGAGTGGGCAGCCCCATTAGACATAATTATAGGGCATGTTGGGGGTAAGAGATCAGGGGCTCTCGGGACCTCAAAGCAGACTTTGTCACTGTGCTTTCCTCAACCCTGATATCAGCCATTGCACTTTTATGGACTATAGTTTGTCACTCAGATGGACAAGAACATGGTCAGGAAAAACACATTTCCTTCTCAGATGTTTATATATAACACTGCAGTACTGAAATTATTAATGCTAACAATATAGTATTCAGTGGTACAGTTAGAATCTATTTTGCTGACCAAAAAGTGTAGCTTTCTATGTGTGCTAAAGTCAACATCTAACAGGTTTTTTGATGTTTAAAATAATACAAAGAAACCTGGAGTTTGAAAGGCGATATAGGGAAAATGATTGTGACTTGTACTAATGGCAAATATTGAAACCAATGAGGGTTTCACTCTCTGCTTTACCTTACTGTGGCAGGCAGCAAATACTTGACTGTTGATAATAGAGCACTTCTTCTCTGCCCAGGCTTTGCGATAAGGATTCCTATTGCATGGGTCAGCCACAAAGAATACATCTCCACACAATGGGTTTTCCTTCCAGGAATTTACAAATTCCAGTTCATTGGATGCCACATATCGAGTTCTGGTTTCAAAATCATCTCGTATATTTCCATTGTAATTGCCACATAGACCACAGAGGTGATCCTAGATTGCATCAAAGTAAATCATGGACATTTTGTTAGCTTTCAAAATTAGGGTTAATAAGGTACACAGCAGTCATCACACTTGAGTGAATGATCCAGAAGAAGCACCTAAGAAGGGGGAAGAAGTGCAAGTCCAGTTCAATCATTCATCCAGAAGTACCATAAATTCAAAAAGTAAAATACTAATCTGCTTCTACACTCCCATTTCTTTGCTAGGAGTAGCCTTTTGGCTTCCTGAAAGTTTGGGTTTTATGCATTCTTCCCCAATAGCTGTGATCTGGAATATATAGGCCAAAGTATTTTTGGTGGGGGGATGTATAGGAGCATTAATGTTCCCATTTGGCAGGGATGGTCTTAATTAATGATCTGCTATTCTGCCTTTTCAGCATGCTCAGGTACAAGCAAACCACTGCAACTTCTCTTAGTTTGTGCATTCTTCCTTATTAATAATGTTTGTAGCCTTGACCACACTCTAATATTTCTTGGACACATGTGCTTAGATTTTCATCCATGCAATGTATGGATAGAAGCTGGGGGAGAAGAGGGCTGTATAGGTTGTGCTTCCCTCATCCGAAGAGTGAGGTAGCCACCCCAAGTTTTGGTTGTCATTAAGAGGCAGCATACTGTTAGTAATTTAAGTAATTGTGCATGTTGTTTCCAACATATAATAACCCTAAGGCCAAGCAATCACAACATTTTCATTAGCAAGGTTTGTCCAAGGTTTTCCTTTGCCTTTCTCTGAAACTGAAAGAGTGTGGCTTGCCCAAGGGCACCCAGTGTATTTCCATGGCCCTTTGTAGATTATTAGTTTTTTTAGAGAAGGGAAGGAGACAGGTGCATGCCCAGGAGAGGAGGTGTGGCTAATGGGAAGGGAGCACTAGGGGAAGCAGAAATACAAGCACATGCCTGGAAGAGCAAGTGTGGGGGACAGTGATAGTTACCCCATTTGGAATCCTGACAAAGAAGCAGTGATGTAGGGGAATATTGGATGGATTGGGAGGAGTTATCTGTCAGCCATGTGATCAGTCAAAAGGCCTTATTTTATAAGATATGGGAAGGAGAGAGCTGCAAGTGTGATTTAGTCAGTATGTATGCAGTATGTATCCCGTCCATAAAAGCCATGAATTGTCTACTGGACTTTTGCTTTGTGTGTGATAGGGTCCTAAATGTTCAATTAAAGTTTTAAATCACTGCAATATGACAGAAAATTTCATTTGGACAACCAAATTCATATTTGCATAATGTTATGCCCACATTTTACCTCAACCCCAGCATAGCAACAATCTTGGGGTTATGGCACTGTTATTACCTTTTCATTTTCACTCATTTGCCCATCAGCAATGAATTTATGAATTTCAACTATTAAATTTTAAATACAATTGTTATTTAATTCTGTTTAATGTTTGTATATTTGTAGGTTTTAAATTGTATTAAAATGCTTTTAATGTAAGCTGCTTTGAGTTTCTTTGTGGAGAGAAAAAGTGGGGTATAAATAAGAATAGGAATAATTTATTAAGAAAAGTGAAGAATTTCTTAGAAAATGACATTACCTTTGCTTCTCTGGAAATCTTGATGAATAAGTTCATGTGTCTGTTCCAGACAAGGATCATATCATATTTGTCAGGTATTGTGATCTCAACAACCAAGTAGAGGGCATTTTCTTCTATGAAGAACTCCGTATGGGAATTCCAACCAGACACAGTGTATATTCTGTCTGCCAAAGTGATAGTCATATTCTGCAAGGAGAACTATGTGTAAGTAAAAAAAAACTATTAAAATGAAATAGAAATAAAAATTATTGCACTGGGCCCTTGGTAGATCCAAGAACACTGTCAGCATGTAGTCATTTTCTCCCCCAAAAGAAATGCAACAAAATGTCTAATTAGCTTTCCAAATGCAACAAAGATAAAGTAGCTATTGTCTTATGTTGAGGGTTGCTTGCTTGCTCACATTCCACTGTGGAACAAGTGAGGAAAACTCAGCACTGCACAGCAAGAACTACATATTGTCCTTACCCCAAGATGAATCTTGATTGCCCTGGAACAGGTGACTCCAGTGTTTCCACAGACAACATTCTCAGTCACTATTTTAAAAGTGTGGGGAGAGCCACCCATGCCACAACCATCCTAAGGAAAGAAGCACAGTCATATAATTATTAGATTGGTCCAGGTAGCAAAGCATCTGTGTGGATTTAAAATGCACAGTAGAAACTCCCAGGCTTTCATCAAACAAAATTGAAGGGTTTTCACCCAAACATAGCATTAAAATGATATTGGCCTTAGAGGATTTGTTTGGAGTGAGGGGGCTAAATGCCAGATTCAGCTATGGTGGCCTTAAGTCATGCAATCCTCCATTTGAAGACATCTTTTTTTGATGGCCTGTCAGAGTTTTGTAGGGTTAATGCAAATATAAATGAGATAGGCTCTCTAAGCATGCTATAAATAGCTGGAGAGATATTCCTTGAGACAGTTGCCTCAAAGTTTTAGAGATCAGTTGGTTGATATGGGTTATCTTATTTAATGAACTTTGTGGTTCAGCCTGCTGGACCAAATCAATGCAAAGGGGTGGTGCCCTTAAGCTGTGTGTTTCTGTGGCAGTTTGAATACATTTATTATGCCATGCATAATAATGGTTTTCAGGGGAAACAAGAAACCAGAATAGTGTTAAATTCTTAGAGTAAATTTTCTGTGGAGAAGTCATATCATTTTATCCCAAAGAGGTTGCACTGACAAAAAAGTGCAATACATTTTATGAAATGAGAGTAAGAATGGAAAGTATAGTGAATAATCTTTTCATCCTTAATAAAAAGGGAGTTTCCTGACTATCAGAAATTCTTGCAGAGAAAAATTTGAACATGACAAGGCACTTGCCTTGGATACTTCTGTGCTGAATTTTACCCCCTATGCCTGAAACAATAGGAAGTAGAAGAAATCTGCTCCTAGGAAGTGGAATTACTCCTGTTAAGAGTTATTATGGGGAAAAGGTCTCTCCATTGATGCTTGTTTCCTTGTTTCCACAACACCCCAAAATGTCCAAATTCCAATTGTCACAGGGACAGAAAATGAGGTGAAATTTTCTAAACAGGGGCATAGATTTAGCAAAACAAACATTACAGGGGTGTACTGTTAACCCTTCTCTGTGTTGTCCAAAACTAAAAATGTTTGGCTGGAGTTAAACGTGAAAAATGTACCTGTTCTGACTTACATAGAAGATCAACTTAAGAACAAACCTAAAGAACCTATTTTGTCCTTAATGTGGGAATTGCTTGTATATTTATTTTAACAACCAGTAGTACATTTGCTGGATTATGATGTACCAATATAATAAGGTTACCATAGCTAAAATGTATTCACAGTTGCCATCAAATACAAATCGCTGTCCATCAAACGTGTTGATATGCCCTTCCCCATAGAGGCTGCATGTTGATGAGCATTTGGTATTTTGGATACATTTCCATTTTCCTCTGGCACAGGTACTAAGAAGGAATAAAAAGACTTGTGAGAAACTTACAAAGTTTACTCTCTTCCTTGAGGTCTTTGAGTGATGACAACTTAATTTCCAGATGTTACAGTTTACTATGTTTTGGTACAAATTTAATAGTTGACAATAGTAGTATACATAATTAATTTTGTTTTTTTTTCTAGGTTTATTTGGATGGCATACATGCACAGTTTGATCAAGGATACTCAAGGACAGAACCCTGAAGTCTTACCAGGTCTTGCATTCAGTCTGAATTTGCTCTCCTTTTTCATATGAGAGGCCACCATATTCGCAAGGGCACTCATCAGGTGGTACACATGTACCATCTAGTTTTTCATATAGTCCAGCATCACAAACACACCCTGACTCACATTTGCTGGGGACCTGGAAAAGAACAACCTATTACTACATGTCAAACATTTAATACACCTGGCTTTATTGAACAACACAGTACAGTACTTCTAGATCTGTGACAGCCAGGGAAACAAATTGCTCTAAGACAAAGGTGGAAAATGTGCTGTTCCACTGCTAGTTTCATCACTCCTTTTAGTAGATGTGGTGGCTAGGTCTACCACTCAGTACCTGGAGGTTCACACAGTCTTCATTTATTGTTCAAGCTCTTGTGCAATAACTGTAAATATCAAATGTGATGAAGTGCAGATCATTTAGTTTACTTTAGAAAGAACAGAGTTAAATACACTCAATAATGTAGTTGTCCTACAGTTATCACAAGGTACATGTTTCATCAAAGAACCGTAGAGATTCTTTGCTAGAATGATCCCTTTCTTGTGTTTTTGTGAAATTAAAAAGTATATGCATTTTTCCAAATAGAGTTTTAGGACTGAATTATGAGACTCTAGTCTAAAACTTTCTAATAAAATTACATTTAAAAAAATACTATTCAGTCAAAGTTTCTTAATTTTCTGGAAGTATAAAGTGCAGTGGCTGTTTGATTCCATTATGCTTCTGGGAAAAAGTATTATTAGTGGAAATATTTCAAAACAGAGTTGTTTAAACATCCTTCCAGCTATATAGGTTCTATTTCTGAATGGATATGTGGCTGGAAGGATATAGATAGTGCTACACTTGAACAGCAGCACAATCCCGTGCATGCCTACTCAAAATAATGACATAATGAATTCAATAAGATTATCTTCCATGTAAATGATCATGAGATTATGTCCTAAATGATCTAAACTTCTGGTCAGAAGAAATAGTTGCACAGAATTTTCTCCTGCATTGGCATTCTACCAGGAGTAGTAATTCCAAGGAAAATACTTGGGGGGGGGGGGGGGGGGGGGGGAAAGTTGCTTGTTTTCATAATTGGGTATTTTGGGTTCCTTGTTTGTTTTGTGGAATCTGTCCCTATACAAACAGTTCATCCACATTTGGGAGAGCACTTGTATGTATGCTTATTTGCATACATGTATGATGAGGATCTGATCATTTCTATTGCATAAGCATTAATGGGATAATAGTTGTGACGTGCAAGTTTAAAAGAAAGATGCATAAAGAGACCTGATGTAAGGCAGTTACCAGTTTGGCATTCTACATATGTATAATTCCTGTTAAGTTTAGTGGGACTTTCCCCTAGAAAAGTGTAGCCTCATCTTTTCATTCACTGAGCTCTAATTGCATGTTGGAGCTAGAGGATGGAAATTACGAAGAAAGAATTCCCTTTGCCTGTGATAACCATGTTGCTGCTCCCAAAGTGTGTGTTCTCTAGAGCTGTCCTTTGGCAAAAGTGTGTCTCTCAATATTGTGGAAGATTTTTTGTCAAATAGTGTCACCTTAGGAAGTAAGTTTTGGTATTGTGAAGAGTGAGCAAACAAATTATCCCTAAAGGTAATAGTAAAGGTTTCCCCTTGGCAAAAAATGAATACATTTCATGAATGAAATACAGCAATTGTGTTTGATATCATAGTGATTACTGAAAGTGTATTGATCTCACACATTGAATTCCAGTAGCCAGCATCTGGCAGGTTGGCGCACAGGCAGCTCCGTACTTGCTTCCTGAGTTGGAGGAACATGAAATGTATTTTTTGGGAGGCCTGCACTTTTCTAAAGAAAAAAAAAAAGAGATACACAAGCGTGAAGTGATATCTTTGCAACATGAGAGGAAGCAAAGATACTCTGGAAAAAATGCAATGAGATCCATACCTGCAGGATCTACAGGTTTGCCAGTACAACTCAGATTCCCATTAATGCAGTAGCTAGAAGAGAAAATGTGTATTAGGATACATGAAGTAAATGAAGTAAATGAATGGTACTCTAATTCTAATTTAAACTCTGAGCCTGCATAGTTTCCAAAAGAACAGTCTATCTTTTTCTTTCTTTTTTTGGACTGATGTTACCCAGCCAGGGTTGAACAAACAAGCAATTTAACTGATCCAGATCCTGGGGAGGGTATAGTATAGTAAACAACCTAAATCGGAGTGCAAAGATAACATTAGTTTATGTAGTAGGGATAGTACACACAATATATTACAAGGACCATATTTTTTTCCTTCTAGACTTGCTACCACAGTTAGATGGAAAGGCAATAGATGAAGAGTGTTAATAAATAAACAAGGAAAACATCTAAAAGGATCTCATAGGACTAACTGATCTACTATAAACTTTCATAGACTTAAGTCTACTTCCTCATATGTGTATGCTACTAACTTTGTTCTCTCATATAGTCTTGAGCATACTACAATATTCTTTTGCATACTGATATTTCAAGCAAATGTGGGCATATCGTTGAATTTAATACAGAAATAACCAATCTTTAGTTTTTCTGTTTTTATTTTTGATTGTGCTCCAGTTATCTCCTTTCCCTGATAAAAAGTATACTTTTATTTATTACATTTACATCCCCCTTTTTCTGTTTTGAAACTCTGGGATATATATACTTCAAAATTTAAAAAGTTCCACCAATGTTTACTTTTTTTGCAGGATCTGGACAGAGTGTGATTTTTAATGAAGGAAACTTTTACTATACCAAGCAAGCCCATAAAGGCTCTTAATTTTTAACAGATACTTACCAGGTGATTCCACCAATCATGGTTGACTGGTCTGGCTGAATAAACTTCCTGTCTTTCAAGTAGCAAGGACACTGAGATTTACGGACACACTGATTTCTGTGGTTCAGGTAAGTTCCTTTGGGACAATTGCAGCCATCAATGGGGATGTCAGCAGAATGACACTCTAATTCTCGGTTGGAGAGGGACAGACATGTCCGATCACAAGCTTGTGTGTTATAGCTGAATGTCTGATTACCAGTACATGCAATGGCTAGCAAAAGGAAGAAGAATATAATTATGCTCAAAAACCTTCAACTTGCATCCAAATATTCCAATGCCATCTTTTCTTTGGGTGGGTGGGAGGGAACAGAAACCATGTAGCTTATCTGGGAGATACACTCATACTGCTCTTTTACTGAAGTTCAGATTGTGGAGCATCTGGAAAAACTTCAGACAGTCCTTGAGTAACAATTAAACTTGTTTTAATCCCTTCAGGCACACTATCCCATACTTAAGTGCTCATTAGAACAGAAACATATGAGCACATGAAACTCACAGCAATTCATCTTTTTGCTCTTTATGAAATTTAAAATAACATTTTTCATTGCTCATAAGAGTAAACTGCTCAAAGTGATGAACATTAAGCAAATAAAACTAAATGTCTATATATTTTTATGAAGACTGTGCTTATCATAGATCACATAGTGTGATCTTAAATTAATGTTTCCTTAGATATTTGCCCAGGACAACATGTCTATTAGTCTTAGTAATCAAAATATGATTCTTTGAGAACAATTCTGCCACTTATCATGGGACGATGAGGAGCTGTTTTGCTCTTGTGCTAGAGTTAGGGAATGTATTTACACTACACATTTACAGTAGTTTTATACAACTTCAATTGTCTTAGCTTCGTGTATTCCTGCCTTGGCTTCCTGTATTTGTTGTTAATGTATCATAGAGAAACTTTAGATTCTGCACCAGAGTTCTCTAATGTCCTCCACTGAACTGTAGCACTAGAACTATCTGTTGGAGAGAATTCAAAGAGCTTCACCAGATAGCGGATTCCCTAGGAATCATGGCAGTCAAAATGGTATCAAACTTCTGTAAATGTCTAGATTTTAAGAATCCCACAAAGGATGATAAAATAGCTCATTTAATTCATGTTGTGCTAATAGTGATGACAGCTTGTACAAATGTTTGACCAATTCTAATGAAGGCCTGGTAGGAGTTGGAGTGTACTTACTACAGTTGTCTACAGTACTCCGCCAGTTCCCAATAAGCAGTCCCATTGAAGCACATGCACGAGCGTATGATGCCAGGGCAGAGCAAATATATGGAAAAGTCTCTTCATAGTTACAGGCTTGGTAGACACATCTCTAAAATAAATGGCAAGATATGTTACTTTAATATTAGGCCAGAAATACTAACTAGTGGAGTGTATGGATGGGTTTCTACATCCATGGGTACCACTTGTGTGACCCTCACCCCATTTTATTTAAGCTTTGATGTGAATGTTCTGTATTTGTATTTTGATTTGTGACATCTTATACATATTCAGTAGTTACTGCCTGAAGATTCAGTTATCAAATGATGGCAGTGCCCATGTCAAACAGTTCTTTTCTACTATATAAATTCAGCTGTTGCCTAGGATAGGTTATCAATTATATCTATCAACTAGGTAGATGGAAGCCATGTGTTTTTTTTCTTTCCTTGGTTTGTATTTCATTTTTCATCTTGTATTTTAGTCTTTTGTAGTGTAGTTTAGTTATTTATAGTTTTATCATTATCTCGTTTGTATCTATGAAATTTTTCCTTATACATTATTTTATATTACAATTTTTGGTTGTTTAATGAAAGCATTTTTTAATGAAACTTTTCCTGAAAATATTGTAAATCAGTAGTTCTCAATCATCATGACAGTGAACATTTGGCAGAGGAAGAAATATCCATGTGGCATTTCAGAGGAACTAAGTACTCATAATCTTCTGGAACAGATTCTTCTTCCTCTTTATTCTATTTCTTTTCACTCTTATGAATGGATTTCCTTGGTGGGGTTAGATTCTTCTCTGCCCTATTTTCTTAACATTTAGATCCAGAACATATTTAGCAGCCCAAGCAAAAAAAATTCTTATGTTATTATAAGGCAAAATTGGAAACACAGATTTGTGTTGGCTCAAGCCCATAGAGCTTCTCTTATTAGAAATCTGAATATGCTTCCTCTGGTCCCCTTCTTTCGGGATTAGTGTTACTCTCTTTTGTTTTTCTACAAAATGCTGTTGGGTATTTCCTCCTTCCTTAGCTGTGGCCTTGGCTTATTTTTCACCCACCTTGCTTCTCATGTCACATCAGATGGTAGTAGCAACACGTTTCTGATTATTAAGGGGGAGGAGTTAGTTTATGTTTTAGCATGAGCTGTCCAAGGTGCTGAATACATTTTCAGGTTAGGGTTTAGTGGCTCAGAGAACTTATTTAAAATTTGAACTAAAACAGGTTGCCTTCATCAACTTACTGGTATGGAAAACACTTAGCTACTAAAGTCTTTTAAACACAAAAATCTGAAAGAAAAGGCAAACTCATCAGGTTCTAATGAACAACATATGGATCTACCAAAACGTATAAATCACCCATCCAATGAAATGTTTTACTTTCTTGCTGTTTCAGTCTTTTGGCAAGAAGTCCCTACCTTGTAAAATGGAACAGGATTCACCACAATATGACATTTTGCAAATATTGCTTCTTTCTTTGTAAGAACGGAGCAGTGGGTTTCTGCACACATTTCTAAACAAGAGATACAATCAAAGGCATTAGGCAACTCCATTTATTCATACCACAGGAAAAGATCAATTTAAAATCATTGTGGGAATACTCTGACAAACTGTCATGTTTTGTAATCATTTTTATGTCCTGCCTAGCCTGTTTTCTGAAAACTCATGACCAAGTTTATAATGTTATTTGCTTTTCATGGATATCCAGAAGGACAAACCAATCTCATTTAATTTTAATTAACAGGTAAAACATATTTTTAGACAGCAAAAAATTGCTACAGTTTGTACATTTTGATCCTCTCCAGAGCAACTTTCTTCTCTCTTTTGTGATACTAATATCTGAAAGTTCACTTTCTTCCTCTTAACTTACAGCTCACAAAGGCTGCTTGTGCAATTTAGCATTAACCATTTGCTTGTTTTGATCACAGAATTAGCAATAAAATATTCCTCATTCTGATAAACATTTGCTAGTACATCTAAGCCTTTTCCTAAACTACAGAGTTTAAATTCCCTAGAGAAGTATGTGCAGCCATATTAGTTTTGGGATGAGACAACATGATGTAGTGATTTTGAGCATTGGACACAACTCTGGAAATCAGAATCGGATTCCTCAACTTGGTAATGGAAACCAACTGGGTGACCTTGGGCAAGTGACATACTCTCAGCCCCAGAAAACCCCATGATAGGGTCACCTTAAAGTCTCCATGTGACAGAAATTTATTGAAGGCACCACATACTGACTGCTTGAGACAAAAGTCTAGTGTGTGGGGAGAGTTGCTTTTGCGAATAGTGCTACTTGTTCTTCTTATTTCAGTGGATTGGGTGCAGAGGCGGCCCTAGGTAATTTTCAACGGTAAGCAAACAGTTTTTTGCCCCCCCCCCCCCTCAAACCAATCATTGATATATATTTTCTGTTCGTCGTGGGAGTTCTGTGTGCCATATTTGGTTCAATTCCATCATTGGTGGAGTTCAGAATGCTCTTTGATTGTAGGTGAACTATACATTCCAATAACTACACTTGCCGCACTTGCTCCCTTGCCTGGCCCGCTTTGGGTCCGGAGGCGTGCCTGAAGACCCCGGCGTGTGCACCAAAAGTCACCTCTTCTCCTGACTTTCTCCTCAGCCATTGGGACCAAGAGAGAGAGAGAGAGAGGTGGAGATGCCCACCTTTCCTGAAGGTAGGCACAAAAACAAAGGAGGGAGCGGAGGTGGGAGATACCTCCAGCCGGAGGGGCTCTCTCTCTCTCTCTCTCTCTTGGTCCCAATGGCTGAAGAGAAAGTCAGGAGAAGAGGTGACTTTTGGTGCGCACGCTGGGGTCTTCAGACACGCCTCCGGACCCGAAGCGGGCCAGGCGCGGCGGCTCCGCCCTTTGGCCCACCCGTGGATTGGGGAGAGGAGAGGAGATGGGTGGAGCGCTGGGGATCGGGAAAGGGAGCCGTCATGGGGAAGGGATCGAACGCAGAGAACGATTGAGCGCCGGCTCTGCTCGCGCACCCGGTGGCCGGGTGGAGCAGGAACGAGAGGGGCTAGGCAAGGCTCAAGGGCCCGGCCCCTTTGGGAAGAGGATCGCCCGGCAGCGAGGCAAGAAAGCAGAGGCTCCCCCCGGACTGCTAGGGCTGTTGTGAGCTGAGGGGGCGCTCCTCAAGTGGCAGTCGAGGGGCATTTACAGAGGCGCCTCTGTGCCCCTGGCAAAAAAAAAGTGTTCTGCGACCGCTTACTTCGCATAATGGACGAGCCGCCCCTGATTGGGTGTGAGAATCATAGAGTATGGAGGCCATTTCTATGCACCTTGACTTCTCTCAAATCCCTCCTTTGCTCCAGCCTCTGTTAATTAATCCATTCTCCATGTGGAATGAAAGCTCCAGCAGCCTCTACAACATGCGATTCTCCTACAGCTCTTACAGGTGGCTGGAAGGCACACGTATACACACATAACTGGAAGTGATCTTCTTGTGGTCTCTTTCTAGTTTTGCCTAGTACAGTGGTAATGGGAAATTCCCATTTCTGATACTCTGCACTTGCCCACTTCTACAGTCAGTTATAGGTGGGAACACCAGTAAATTAAGGTGTATTTATATGTTTCTGTAGCTGATACAAACTGCAGGTAAGACTGCAGTACTAATGTGCAATCAAGTAGTTTCCACTATATGATCACCTTATGATTCATAACAGTAGAAACATTACAGTTATGAAGTAGCAACGAAAATAATTTTATGGCTGGGGGTTAGCACAACATGAGGAACTGTATTAAGGGGTCGGGGCATTAGGAAGGTTGAGGAACACTGATTTAGATAGTATGATGTGGATGGAGTTTATCAACTGCCAAACCACTTATTTCCTGCGGGTGGGGCAATTTCATAGTAAACCAAAAAGTAGAGGTGGGAAAGTAATGATTTGGATTTCAAGAAGTCATTGTTTTCCACCTCTCCAGACTGGCAATGACACAGAAAACTCATTTCCTTAAAATTCTTCTGTTTGTGACATCTGTAATGCACTTTGGAGGAAGAAATCTGCTAAAATTATGTATATGTTTCAAATATGTTTACAAAAGCAAAAACAGATTTTTTTAAAAAATGTGTACACTTATGGTTGACATAAGCAGAACTCATGCAACGTGTTTTTGTAAGGAAATGATGCACAAAAAGCCTTGCAACACAGTACAGAAATAGGAATGGAAGAAAATGTATTTATTTATTTAGAACTTTTATATACCGATCTTCTCACCTCCAACGAGGGACTCAGGCCGGTTTACAACAAGGGGGTTCATACACAATAGTTTAAAAGCATCACATCAATAATACACTAATATAAACACATTAAAGTACTATCATATAATTATATAAAGCCAAGTCGTTAGCATAAAATTAATGAAAGGCAGTCTGACAATTTTTCACTTCACTTGTGTAAGTGCGTCCAGCATCTTATTACCTATTACAGACAGTGGGTAAGGTCTAAACTCGTACCACTGACTTGTATAGGGAAGTTTTGCAGTGAACTGCGGTCAAGTCAGCTTTCACTTATGGCAACTCTATGAATGAGAGCCTTTCAAAGAACAATATCAAAACAGCCCTGCTTAGATCTTGGAAACTAAAAGCTTCCTTAATTGAGGGCCAACTAGATGAAACCATGGTTATACGCCACAAAATTAATAAGTTGTGTGTGAGAGAGTTTAATTTGTGGAATTTAACACTTCTCTTCCCAATACTCCAGTTCTCTGGTTTTTAGGACTGGAGATGCTAATCAGTAAAACAAAAACCAGGAAGTGATATTAGTTACAGGAGCTCTCATTCATAGACATTCTTTCTGACCTCTCCAAACTGAAATCTTAAAAAAAAAATCTAGCTCAGACTTAGGATGATATCATGGCTGTGGATTTGTGCATTTATTAGTAATTGTCACACACATACCCCTAAAGAGGCAAGATACTTACTGTTTAACTGGCTCATAGAACAAGGATCTGTGTCTCTTTCAATGGCAGCGGGACAATTTCCCGCCCTCCAAGAATCCACAAAAAGTGGTGCTGTTCCTTCAATAATATCCATGCTTGTCATAAAGTCATCTGCTGTTTCTCCATTGTAGTTACCACACAGCCCTGGTGATATGGGGGAAAATGCATGGAATAAAAAACCACCAGAATATTTTTCAAAAATGAAAAGGTGACAGGTTAGTCATGTGACAGGCCAGTGCATAACAATTGTGCTATTGTTCTCTATTAAATTTATTTATTTAGAACATTTATATCCTGTCCTTACCAACCCCCAAGGGGGGACTCAGGGTGGCTCACAACTGGCAATCATTAGATGCCAACAAACAAACAGTCATAGTACAAACAGTTTAACATTAAGAAAACAACCAAATTATAAAATACAATTATGATATTAACCATTAAAATATTAAAATATTTTACATATAGTAATGTATACAATGTGTTCTGTGTCATTAAGGTTTGATGGACCTGGAATAAACAAGTTCTGATGTGTCTAAATTGTGCCAAACTGTAGAGGCCAGAGTTTTTCACAATCAACTCTAGCTGATGCAACAGCCTTTGTCTAAACATTAAAACATGTAGCATCCTAAGCTTATACTGAAAAAACAAATCAATCAATGATATATATGACCTAACATAGTTCTAATGCCCTTTGTTCGAGTATGTGGAAGCCTTTTTGTAGACGATCCCAGGCCATACTATACTACATGCAAGAATCCCACCCACCTCAGCAGAAGCCTAGACTAAAATCTACTTATTGATGAATTTGACAAGAATTTGTACAAAACAAAAATTTGTAGTCACATGACAGATGGGTATTAAAAAGCCCCTGGGTACACAGAGCAAGTTAACTTCATGGCAGGAAAACATGAACAAATTGTATCTAGCAAGGCAATAAATGAGGATGTGCATTTACATGGACAGCAATGGCTCCCAAAGTGATCCATTTAACATGGAATCAAGTGTCAAACAGGGATGTGCTATTGCCCAAACCTTATTGCCCATCTTCAACACTACGTTACTTCATCTTCTTGATGGGAAGCTTCCTACCGGAGTGGAAATCATCTATCGGACAGATGGCAAGCTATTTAACCTCAGCAGACTGTAAGCCAAAACCAAGGTCACTACAACATCTGTTATAGAACTCCAGTATGCCAATGACAATGTAGTCTGTGTTGATTCAGAAAAAAACCTACAAGACACTCTAAACACCTTTGCAGAAGCATACAAGAAGCTTGGCCTCTCATTGAACATTTAGAAAACCAAAGTGCTCTTCCAGCAATCACCAGCTAATCCCTCTGTAATGTCAGAAATACAGCTTAATGGTGTAATATTAGAAAATGTTGACCATTTCTGCTACCTTGGCAGCCACCTCTCCACAAAAGTCAACCCTGACACCAAAATACAACACTGCCTGAGCTCTGCGAGTGCAGCATTTTTCCAAATGAAGCAGAGAGTGTTTGAGGACCGCAGAGACACCAAGGTGTTTGTTTAAGCTATTGTCCTCCCAACCCTGCCTGTGAAACGTGGATTGTCTACAGACATCACACTCAACCCCTGGAATGATTCCATCAGCGTTGCCTCCGAAAAATCCTGCAAATCTCTTGGGAAGACAGGTGGACAAATGTCAGTGTGCTGGAAGAAGCAAAGACTACCAGCATTGAAGTGATGCTCCTACACTATTAACTGTGCTGGACTGGCCATGTTGTCTGAATGCCTGATCACTGTCTCCCAAAACAGTCACTATATTCCAAACTCAAGAACAAGAAATATAATGTTGGTGGACAGGAAAAGAGATTTTAAAATGGACTTAAAGCCAACCTTAAAAACTGTGGCATAGACACGGAGAACTGGGAACACCTGGCCCTTGAGCGCTCTAACTGGAGGTCAGCTGTAAGCAGCGGTGCTGCAGAATTCAAAGAGGCACGAATGGAGGGTGAAAGGGAGAAACGTAACAAGAGAAAGGTGTGTCAAACCAACCCTGATCAGAACCACCTTCCAGCTGAAAACCAATGTTCTCACTGCGGGAGAACATGCAGGTCAAGAATAGGGCTCCGCAGCCACCTATGAACCCACCGCCAAGACCCTGGATTTGGAGGACCATCATCCTCGGAATACGAGGGATCGCCTAAGTAAGTAAGCATTTATATTATCTTTTATACAAATATGGTAGAAAGATGGCAGTCACAGCTGAATCTAATGAATCCAGCCTATATTTTGTGTGATAACCCCCTAATTCAGGAAGGGATATCTTTGTGGATATCTGTTGCCATATCTGCTCCACACTTACTGAACTGGGAGAAGACTGCACTAACCATGATGGGTCAACTATGTTCGTTAACACTATGTAACAAAATTTGGAAAATTTTCTCTTCCTGGTTTGTAAGTGTTATTTCTGTTTAATTGTGTGGTACTTACTTTGAGGGTAGTTCTTATGCTCCAGAAACTTTGTTCTTGTGGCTACCACAAACTATGTTGAACTCGTTGAGACTCAATGAGATATTCATTAAAAAAACTATAACAAAACATGCTGCAGGATGTTCCACAAAAACAACTATTTTACAACTTAATAAATGTTTTCCATGTTTTTATGATAGAGCCAATTAGGTAATGACATTTATAACCCAGGAACAAAAATGGTTTTACATAGTGAATACAAGGATAACACAAGACTTGGTGACGTTCTCTTCTCATTTATGAATATTCTTTGATGAAGATTCATAGCCTTAAGTCACTGAAACCAAGAACCAAAGGAAATTGAATTCTTTACCTCTTGTGTTGCCTCTAAACTGCAGTCCAACTTTAACAAAAACTTGAAATAGTGGAATAATTTGAACAACCAGTTCCAATCCAAAGGTAGTGGCCATTTGAATATGAGTAGATGACTGCCTGAAGATGGTGATGTCCCCTAAGAGAAATTGGATTATTGAAAAAATGTCAATTATGCTATATGTATTGGAATGATTAAATACATATCCATATTTATACATATTTCTATTTAATCCTTGTAGATTATTTTATGCTTGAATAGCTACACTGTGTAGGAATTAGCTTTACTACCTAATACAGTGGTTTCCAATCTTTTTTTTTTGACCAGGGACCACTTTGACCAGGGACACTCTCCAATATTAATACCAAAAGAGTTATGAATCAGTTTTTGGTCAACTTTAGATTTGGTTTGGTTATTTGGGGTCAGGCATGTAGCCGGGGGGGGGGGGGGGGGGGGGTTGAGGGGCTTCAGCCCCCCCCCCCCCGAAATTCTCATGGTGGTTCGCGAAAAGGCCTTACTGGTGCATTATTTAAACTGTTATGTTTATTCATATCATGATCTGATCACCATACTCAATATATCCCATATGCATGGGGGTATTGGGGAAATGATACAAAAGGTTTGCTAGGCTAGACCCTCTTTCACTCAGACTCAGCCCCCCCCCCCCCCCGAAATTTTTCCCCCCCCCCCCCCCCCCCCGAAACGAAATCCTGGCTACAGGCCTGCTTGGGGTGCTGATTCAGAAAATTGCATTGGATAGACCACATCAGCTCATTTCTGATAAAGAACGTATGGCATCCAGTTGCCATCTGCTCACCCACAGAAAACCATATTTAATAAGCCTCAGCACTATAAGAGGGTTTCACGAGACCAGTTGCTCTTATTGCAACGGTGTAGTAATGGTGAGGCCAGCGACCATATTTTCATTCTTGCAGACCACAGGTGGTCCACGGACCACAGTTTGGGAACCACTGACCTAATAGCATGGTTGGTCGACAAATCCATATACTAATAACAGTTTATTTATTTATATGACTTAAATCCTGCCTTTTTCAAAGAGGTTTATGTAACATACTAATGAAAGAAATAATAGCAACAAAAACAGCAATAATGATGATGATATAGAACTTACGCAAATCTAGCAGAACCTTGAATTTGTCTTACCTGATTTATAAGGCAGCCACTTAATTTCTTTATCATCTGTTAAAATTTCATTTTTAGAAATCACAATTTTGTCCTGCATGGAAAAGACAAACAGAATTTTAAATGGAGCAAGGCCTTTCGTGTTAATTAGGACTAAAGACTAGGCTTTCTATGAATCAACAGCAAATGAAATATACACTGTCGAATTAATTATAACTAGCAATATGCATATAGGATTATTGCGGAAGGCAGTGTCAGAGAGGTATGGATGGGTCAATGATTAACCTTGGTTAAAATCCTTAAATAAAAAAAATATGAACATGTCTGTATACTACTGAGTTGTTTTACAGTATTGCAGATTGTAAATATAAAACAAAATAACAGTATCAGTTACTGACTTCTATTCCAACTTTTTTGTTTACATCCATGGATCACCCCCCCCCCCCACTTGCACACACACAAACACACTTCATTATATGTATAAATGTAAAATATTATGTGGCAGTTTACATTTCTGTCATGCTATTGCTAAGTTCATTAAAGACACTGACTTTCAGGAAGAACTTAGAATATTGTTGGTGTTGACTGTAAGAATATCTCCCTTTCTGTTGTTCTAGGTGCATAAACTTGTATCTGAAAATGTAACTAGTGATTAAGGGCCTCAACACATGAGAGAATGAATCCACTTTAAATCAGGTTTCTGTCTCCTGCAGAATTGTGGGGTTTGTAGTTTAGGGAGGAGCCTTTAACAGCCTCATTAAACTACAAACCCCAGAATTCTGCAGGAGGCAGAAACCGGATTTAAGGTGGATTCATTCTCTGTGGATTCATTCTCTAGTGTGATGAAGGGGTTGGTGTATTACTCTTAAATCCACCACAGAGCCTAACTGAAATCAGTTTGTCTTGAATTGTAGCTGCTCTATTTGGTGGTGTCCATAGTGTCTGTGTCCATGGCTATCAGCAGTTTTTTGAGAGGATAAACACTTACATTTCCTGAGACATAAATGATTGCTGTCAGGGATGTCTCTGAACTGGAATAGCCAGACCTCTCATACACAGCCATCAGTGTTCCATTATGTGGTAACATGGGGCTCTAAAAGGAAAAATAAACAAAATAATGCAAGGTACATAGAGAAAAGAGAGGGAAAATAGATCATTGCTTCACTGCCCTAAAACAAATTTGGACCTCTAATCAAATGTACATTCAGTAATGGAACTGTAAATTAGTCACACTCTGTGAACATAAATTTGTAAACCTATTTGTTATATTCACAATTTAATTTTTGGGCATATGCCTAAAAATATTAACATGAGATAAACAGTAGCCAGTGGGTGTTGTTAGCAAGGATCTTCTATCAGCCTGATAAAACTGATTCTTATTAGAACCGCCTTGAGTCACCTGAGGGATGAGAGGGGTGGTATACAAATACAGTAAATAAATAAATAAAATATTATATACCACATCATCATTGATTTTTATCAAATGCACTACCTTCATAATAATGTAAGTGCAAACTCCATGGAAGCGATATGGTCTGGAATCAAAAGTGGTGACAAATGAACCTCCTTCCAATGAACATCTTCCAGGACACGGTAGTTCTGTACAGCTCCACTGACCCATTGAACATTTACTGGTGAAAAGAAAAATGCACATTTTTGTTAACCACTGAAACAGATTTGACATCATCACTTTTTATGTTAGTTATCTTAGAGCAGTATGCTGTGTCCAGGTTGGTTCATCAGGTGCTCTGCTATAGCTGACTTCTTTGGTTGAAGGAGTCTGCAGTGCCTTTCATGTTCCTTGATTTGTGTTTGGGCAATGCTGTGTTTGGTGGTCCCTATGTAGACCTGTCCACAGCTGCAAAAAGAATCTGTGAACCCCACCTCCTCCAAAATGAACTGAACCACCTAAACTGGGCTCTACAGCAGTGTTTCTCAACCTGGGGGTCGGGACCCCTGGAGGGGTCACGAGGCAGTGTCAGAGGGGTCATCGAAGACCATCCGAAAACACAGTATTTTCCATTGGTCATGGGGGTTCTCTGTTGGAAGTCTGGTCCAATTCTATCATTCATGGGATTCAGAATGTTCTTTGATTGTGGGTGAACTATAAATCCCAGCAACTACAACTCCCAAATGTCAAGGTCTATTTTCCCCAAACTCCACCAGGGTTCACATTTGGGCATATTGAGTATTCATGCCAAGTTTGGTCCAGATCCATCACTGTTTGAGTCCACAGTGCTCTCTGGATGTAGGTGAACTACAACTCCAAAACTCAAGGTCAATGCCCACCAAACCCTTCCAGTATTTTCTGTTGGTCATGGGAGTTCTGTGTGCCAAGTTTGGTTCAATTCCATCGTTGGTGGAGTTCAGAATGCTCTGATTGTAGGTGAACTATAAATCCCAGCAACTACAACTCCCAAATGACACACCCCCCCCACCCCACCAGTATTCAAACTTGGGTGTATTGGGTATTTGTGCCAAATTGGACCAGTGAATGAAAATACATCCTGTATCTCAGATATTTACATTACGATTCATAAAAGTAGCAAAATGACAATTATGAATAATGTTAAGGTTGGGGGTCACCACAACATAAGGAACTGTAATAAGGGGTCATGGCACTAGGAAGGTTGAGAAACACTGCTCTACAGGCTAATGGATACTCCACCTCAGACACCAGAAGAGCTGCAAGACCAAGAACAAGCCACGAGAGTAAAGATGAAGATCCACCCAGAGGAAAAGTGTTCTTGCCATACATCAAGGGAACCACTGACCGCATAGGGAAGCTGATGAGGAAACACAACATACAAACCACTTACAGACCCACCAAGAAAATCCAACAAATGCTACGTTCAGCAAAGGACAAGAGGGATCCTCTCACTTCTGCAGGAGTCTACCGTATACCATGCAGCTGTGGACAAGTCTACATAGGGACCACCAAACGCAGCATCGCCCAAACACGAATCAAGGAACATGAAAGGCACTGCAGACTACTTCAACCAGAGAAGTCAGCCATAGCAGAGCACCTGATGAACCAACCTGGACACAGCATATTATTTGAGAACACAGAAATGCTGGACCACTCTCACAACTACCATGTCAGACTACACAGAGAAGCCATTGAAATCCACAAGCATGTGGACAATTTCAACAGAAAGGAAGAAACCATGAAAATGAACAAAATCTGGCTATCAGTATTAAAAAACTCAAAAATTACAACAGCAAAACTACAGAAAGTTAACAATCAGGTACATCAAATCACCTCTCAACAAAAGATTCCCCCAGGCACTTCCAAGCCATTAAATGCTAATCAAGGTGGTCAGTTGAAACATTCACACCTAGCTCCAGCAGACAAAAGTCCTTTGTCCCACCCTGGTCATTCCACAGATATATAAACCCATTTTCCTACTTCCAACAGACCTCACTACCTCTGAGGATGCTTGCCATAGATGCAGGCGAAACGTCAGGAGAAAATGCCTCTAGAACATGGGCATATAGCCCAAAAAACCTACAACAGCCCAGTGATTCCGGCCATGAAAGCCTTCGACAATACATTGCCTAAGGATTGTTAAACACCAGTCATGGAGTGTTCATGTTTACAGGTAGTGGTTCAGTTCACATATACAACACTCAAAATATGTTATCTCTCCATTAGTAACAGGATGTCAGCCTTGCCTCAGATAAACAAGAGTAATTATAAGAATGTTAATGATCTCAGAACAAATTGGCATCAGGATTCCTAGCCATCTCGATAACCAGTTGCACCCCATTCTTCTTTAATGCAAATACACATGTGCTCACCAGCTTCTACATGCTGCTTCCATGACTTCACCAGGAGCATATTTTTCCCCATTTAGTGTACATGGACACTGTTCAACAGGAACACATGTTCTATTTCTTGAAATATCATCCAAAACAGTATCTTGAAAGATAAACATATAAAAGATGAATGTCATTCATCCCGAATACATGCAAGCCTGGGCCATAAAGCCTTGGATATTGTTTCACTTATCTTTCAAGTATAAATGCAAATGTAAACACAGGGGCAATTCCCTCCCTTTGGTGTTTTTGATGGACTAAATTCCCTGTATCTTTTGGATTTAATAGTGATTAAAAATTGTGGTTCATATGGTGATAATTTACTTAAGCACACTGAGACCAAAAAGAATTCTATATGATCAGTTAAATTTACCATAATTTGCACACTGCATATATTATTACTAGCACAATTCACACCAATGCATTTTCTTAGGCTCCTGTCTGAAGATCCAAGGATAATTTCAGATTTGCACTGATGTGAATGAAGAGATGTCTCAATCCTGCCAAGAGGAGCAGAAGTATGCATCTCTATCCCTTAGGAAAAACTATTTTTAATAGAAAGGCAGTGCAACAAGAGCTTTATTGCTACAAGTAATAGAGGACACTTTTGAATGTCTTCATGATTTTTTTTAAATAAAGGGCAATTATCTACATTGGCCCCAAGAAGAATATAACAGATCATCCATCCCTTCTGTTATAATACTTTTGAGTTTGAGTCCATGTCCAAGTTCAAGATTCAAGGGAATCCTTAAGGGTTTATTACCCATTCTAGGATTCCTAAGGGCTCTCATGTTGCAGCAGCTTTAAGCATAGCTTCTACAAACCACATTTCTGTCTTGTCATATGGTGGCTCCAATTAAATATTCAACATTACTACAGGTTGAGTCCTCCTCATCCAGAAATTCCAAATTCTCAAAACCCTAAAACATGTTATTATTATCATTATTATTATCATTAACTTTATTATTATTAACTTTATTTATACCCCGCCTTGCTCCCTGTGGGAACTAAAGGCAGCTAACAATCCCACACATTTAAAAAACACAATACAAAAGTTTTAAAAAATAATTAAATAGTACTGTGTGGGAAAAACCGATTAAAATAAAAAAAAACAATTAAAATAACCTTTAAAACCCACAGCCCCTCCATCCCACCCACAACCTCCCCAAAGCCTGCCCCTTATTCTTCCCCAAATGCCTGCTGGCAGAGGAAGGTCTTGACCTGCTTGCGGAAGGCCAGGCGGGATGGAACCATGCTGGTCTCCCTTGGGAGGGAGCAGCGGCCACCAAAAAGGCCCTCTCCTGTGTTCTCACCAAACATACCTGAGCAGGTGGTGGGGCAGAGAGAAGGGCCTCCCAAGTAGATTTTAGATGTCTACCAGGTTCATTGAAAGAAATATGGTCCTTTATATGTTGTTATGCCAACAATATAAAGGAAAGGGGGAAACTAAGTGGGCACTGGACATGTGACTAGCCCCTTTTCCTGCATAACCCTCCTTTACTATGTATATGCACATAAAGGTACTCCAAAACCTGAAAAAATGTGAAATCCAAAAAACATCTGATCTCAGGCATTTAGAATAAGGCATTCAAAATCAATTATTAAAAAATATATAACATGGATTATAGAAAACTTCAGACAGCATCAAATAATTATCTATCAAGCTTTGGAATGAGCAAGAAGATGACCGTATGGATGAGGCCAAAGCTACTTTACTTTTCAACTATTTACAATTATATGGACAATAGCTTTTGAAAATAATTTGATTTCTCATTTAAAGCTAAGAATGGTACTTCCTTTTGGTTATTTTTATTTTAAAATCCATCAAAATTCTACAAGCCACCCTGACACTTTAAAAGAATATTGATCAGATATACACAAGTCATTAAGTAATCCTTCATTATGCTATAAATGTAAGGTAGCTTAATTATTGCTAAAATAATAATTTGATTTTGTATCAACATATATTCTACACTCTATTTTTGCTATTTGACTGAAATCATTTTGTATGAAATTGCATATCAAACAAATGGCAATAACATTGTGCAACTGTTTACCTTCTGGACAGAAACAGCCATATGTACAGTAGCTGGAACAAGTGTATTCTGGATTAGAACATGTTCTGAGGCAGGGAGACCCACATTCTTTGTAGATCTGGTTAGCTGAACATTTTCCCAGAGCTGCAAAACACAATGATTTAGAGAGTTATTTCCATCTAATAATACTACGTACATTGTCTGATCCCCCCCCACCCCTGCACCCATTAAATCAAGTACTGGACATTCTTCATTTCTTCCCAGTCCTGTCTTCTAAGTAAATGCCAGTGGAGGGGGATTTAGCAACACCACAGTTTGCTTCAGAATACTGGGACAGAGCTCCAGATTGTCCTTTAGTGGTTCAAACACAATGCTATTCCAGAATGCTGCTACTTACAGCAAAAATCAGCACTCCTCCAATCAGACACTTCTTGATGGGACATGGCACACTGCCGGGAATATTCAGAAAGAGTTGCACAAGCACAGTTTTTCTGCCCTGGATCATTGCAGTTTTGCATGTCAAACTGGCAACGGATGACAAAGCCTTTCTTTGTGATATTACAAGATGGAGACACAACACTCAGAAGTTGGGAGCAGATCCTGCTCTAAAGGGGAAATAAAAACAAAAGCATTTTCAGACAACATGGTGCATTTTGAGTTAGGATTAGACCAAATCACAAACACTCAATTGTTTGTGATGTGCACTGACAATTTTTCATCACCCGGTGGCACAATGGGTTAAACCCTTGTGCCGGCAGAATTGCTGACTGTCAGGTCAGTGGTTCGAATCCAGGTAGAGTGGGTTGAGCTCCCTCTGTCAGCTCCAGCTCTCCATGCGGGAACATGAGAGAAACCTCTCACAAGGATGGTAAAACATCAAAATATCTGGGCATCCCCTGGGCCATGTCCTTGTAGACAACCAATTCTCTTGCACCAGAAGTGACCTGCAGTTTCTCAAGTTGCTCCTGACATGATAAAAACACAAACTACCACAGAAATCTCTAGTAGGTATGTGTTTTCAAGTTGGCTTATAGTAAATGTATCCTAAGGTTTTCTTGGAAAGATTTATTATATGGCAGTGTAGACTCATATAATTCAGTTTAAAACAATGCATATTATCTGATTTGATAATCTGGGTTATATGAGGGTTTAGAAGGGGCCTACATTATCTTAAGTAAGAGTTGGCTTAAAGTTCTGTAATAACAAGGGCTGTAAAATGTGTTCATTCCATCCTTTTCTCCCTGGCCTAGTCCATTGAGTTCATTTACCAAATGATGCAGATCTTTTTTCAAGTGCTCTCAGAGGCAGGCCTGTAGCCGGGGGGCGGGGGACGGGGGCGGTGGGCGGTTAGGGGTTCAACCCACCCTGAAATTTTTCAGGTAAAAAAACCTGGTTTGCTCATGAATTTTAATTGGTTAACCAAATCCCCATGCTAAGTCTATGAGACGCAAAAAATTAAGAGTCCCTCCAGAACCGCAAGTACTTTCTCAAGCAAATATTGACAGTTTATTCACACTGTCATTACTTGCAGCAATAGCCAATGTAGCGAAGCAACCAAGTTGGGGGGAGGGGTGTGTTGAATGCTCTCATTAAGGCGGCCAGACTTTGTGGAGGTGGTTGACAGGGGCGGAGCTGCAGGCTATTGAAGGCTGCTCTGCCCCCTGCTGTGCTCTTTGCTTCAGCGTGAGCTAGGAGGTAGGTTTCAACCCCCCCCCCCCCCCGGAAATTTTCAACCCCTCCCGATATTTTTTCTGGCTACGGCCCTGCTCAGAGGCAATCCAACTTTGATAAGTCTAGAAAAAATAACAGGGTACTCACATATTTCTTGCGAGGAACATTAGAAACCACCATTTCCTCAAATGGACAGATCTCTGTTGGATCATCAAGTTTTTGTAAAGCAGCATACTTGTGTGGATCTAGGAGCTGGCCTAATAATTCAAACACAAATTAAATTGAGGTTTGTTTTTTTTTTAAGTAAAAAATGATAAAGGGACCTCTAAACTACAAAACACTAGAAGCTGACTTTTTTTAAAAAAAATTGCAGAATGCATGTCTGTATTTGATTAACCTATTCCGAACACAACAAATATGCAAGATTGAAGACAAATTGCACACTTTTGGTGGGAATAATTGATGCCTGTGCAATACTATGTGACACCTTGCTGCTATGTGTGAGTAAACGTTTCTGAGGTAATTAAAATTCTAGAATGATATTCACTTTATCACATAAATGATAATCTTTTTATTTATTTTTAAGATATACATGTAAGTTTAGTGGTTTAATTTATAGTTTTTTTACCAACATGAGAAATCCCAAACCTTGACAATAGTTCTTTAGAATTTTTCCCAATAGAGACAAAATTACCTTCACTCAGAAACTCATTTAATTCTTGCCCATCAAAGTTCCCACAAAGTCCACATGTTCTTCCCATGTATTTTTCCTCAATTGAAACCTACAAAAAGAAAAGAACTATATTTGGAAACCAGCTATGCACTGATATCTTGATAATATCTTGTTCCCACCTGCTGTATGTGTATTTATGTATTCCTTTGGATAAAAATGTGCAGATCACACGGGGAAGGGTTTGTGCAGCTTGAAAACTGGTAGCATGCAAAAAAAGAAAATGGTCATGTTGGCCTAAATCTTATTATTACTTCCAATTAGTACAGAATCACAGAATCAATTTGATTGACATATGTGTTGACTGGCCATGCAGCAATTGATTCTACTTGGAACTTGATGACAGAATTCCAGGCATTAAGTGTTTAATTATTGTGTTTATCAATCAATCTTGGGCAAACCAGAGAAGCTCAAGTTATTAAGTAGTCTGAAGTTGGTGAGGCAGTAGGAATGGCTATCATATGTGTGCCCGTGAATTAAGATTCACATTGGAGCATGGAGCATTGGCTTGTCCAGTTAGTTAATGATCTAAGCCTGATTTGTCCATGTGCTGTTTCTGTATAATGGCTTATTGCTTCCTATGGAGACATGATCACTGATACAAGGTGTAACATGGGGCAAATCATGTGTGAGTTTTTTAGTGTGTGGAATTTTGTGTAGTTGAATATCAGCCTACAAAAACCTTGACAGTCCTCTTTCTGTCTTTCTGAATGTAGGATAATAAAACACAGTATGGTATCATTTTTGAGGACCTAGAGAGGCCCACAGACACTTCCAGGGGAAAATATTCTGGTAAGCGAAATAATGGCTATTGCATCTGCAGATAAGGGAGTTGTTCTATATATGCACAATAATCCCATTCACAAGCACTGTAGAATTATTAGAATTGTCAAAATAAAAGACTTTACTCACCATAAGGTAATCATTGTTATTCCAGAAAACAGCCATGTCAATCTCAACCAGCTTGGCTACTAGGCGAGTGATACGTCCAAAAGGTGTAATCTGAATTCCATTCCTGGTATATGGTAATCTGATTATACTGTTGTAATAGTAGGAAAGAAAGCACATACTTAGATACTTGAAGGAATTCATAAGCTTTGTAACGCGAGGGAAAGTTGTGTTCTTGCTCCATGACACTGCCTTCATATATTAAAGAGAGTTCACAACATTTAATCCTTTCCAGCATCACCTCCTGGGGTTATCAAGCAGATAAAACTGTAAGGACTCTGGTTATATTGGTTGCACCTATGATAGGGTACATTCAATATGATGACACTTTGAACTGAGCTAAAATGCTATTGTAAAATATTGTCTGAGTCCCTAGCTAAGATGTCTGGAGCATAACTGGTTCATACCTGTAGCTGGCTCCACATATCACCTGCCAAATTCAATGGGATTAGCTATGACTGTTAAAAGGCCAGGGAGAGAGGTGACTGGGTAGCAGAAACTACTCCCATATCTGGCAAAGTTTACTATAAAGAGGTGAAATTGAATTATGTTTTTATTCCTACTGCCTTCCCCTCCACCATCCATTGTAAAGGCAGGCCCACAGGACTGGAAGATGGTAGGTGATTGTGGTTTTGGATGGGATGCAGGAAAATAATTCCTTACACTATTCAAAAAAGGAAATACACATAAGTAAAATCATTTATATGTCACTAACAGGATTTTGATAATGGTATGTGTTGTATATGCTGCATTTCTAAAAAATCCAGTTACTTCTTTGTTTACAGGCATACATTTTAGACATTGTTAATGTAGATAAGCATTATGAGGAATAATAATATAGTAGTTTTTTTTAAAAAAAGGAATCCAAGGTAGGAGTGGGAATCTTGACAATAGTGGGCCTGCATGTAGAGTCCAGGTCTGGTTTCCAGCCCAGTCATTCCCAGGCCCCTAGCTACATTTCTCCAAGAAAAATGATAAAAATGGCTATTTCCTTCAGGGAGAATATTGTTCATTAATTTATTCAATTTATGAATTTAAGCAATTAAAAAAGTTAGAAATAGCATAAAATTATTAGAATAAAGATTATGTTATTATTATTACTATCATTATTATTTAACTTTATATCCGCCTTTCTCTCTGTGGGACACTTTGTTCATAGTTTAAAAAGCACAAAACAAAAATTTAAATAATATAGTGTTGATTACGGTAAAAACAGATTAAAATATAATCAATATACTTTGAATATACTCACATCCTCTCCTGAATCCCTCCCACATTTTCCTAGCAGCATGAAAGTTTCAAAAAAACATATAACACAGAACATGCACCCCCAATTTCCTCCCTGACAGCAATTATTAATTAAAAGCCTTTTTGAATAGAAATGTCCACCTGCCAGTAAAAGAAAAGCAAGTAAAATCCAATCTAGCCTCCCAATAAAGGAAATTCCAGAAATTGGGAGACGCCACTGAGATGGCTCATTGAATGTTAACTGACTATAGCCTGAATGTTAAGGAATAAGTTGTTACATCTAAAACTGGCCAGACCTAAAATCAGTGGAAAGTGCTTCTTCACCAGTTGCTTACCCAACATCTTTGACTGATATGACACCATTTTCAATCATGATAACTGTGGCTCCCAGTTCAATGATGATTCTTGAAATTTTTTTGTTCGGATCACGCCGGAACTGGATATTGAAGTCCGGAGAGATTTCATCACACACAGTGGCAAAAATGTAGTTGCAGGTCCCAGAGAAATCATACAGGTAGTTGTCAAAGGTTGAAAAATGGCCATTGCCCCATGTGGAACATGAGCCCTTGTCCACAGCTTTAAAATAGCAAACAAAAATGATTATGCAGCTTTAATACTTCAGTGAGCCAATATAAATTTCACATTCTGAAATTATTTTATTATTTATTAAAATTTTTATACCTCATCCTTTATAAAGGGACCTCAGAGTGGCTTACAAATGGCATTAAAACAAGTTAAACAGGTTTTAAATCAGAAAGTTAATTTAAATAAGCTAAACGTATTAAACAACATAATGAATTAAAAACAGATTTAAGAATTTCAGAGCTTTAAAAATTATATGTAGTCATATTTCATTTGAATTAATGGGGGCTAAGGCTTTGGTACCTAAATGACAGGAATATTGGTGCCAGTCAGGCTTCCAAAGGGAGAGCATCCCACAGTTGGAGTGCTGTGGCTGAGAAGGCCCTCTCCCATATAATGATCTCAATGGTTGGTCACAGAGGATAACTTCACTTCAATGCAAACACATATGTGAAGAGGAATTCCCTCAAATAGTGATGCCTCAAGCCATTTAGGGCTTTAAAAATCATCACGAGCACTTTGAATTCAGACCAGATATGTATTGGCAGCCACTTCTAACATTGGTATTATAAATTGTCTATATAATATTCCAATTGAGCAGCTGTGTTTTGCTCTACCTGCAAGCTTCTGATTTCAAGTGCAGTCCCTTATAGAGCTCATTACAGTAGTATAATCAGGTATTTACAAGTGCATGGATTTATGGGTAATGTTTCCACTAGCTACCTTATTTTCTCATTTTTTTCTCACTGGCAAATAACTTGTGGTCCATCAGATGTTGTTGGATTGCAACTTTTATCAGTCCTACCCAGCAAGTACAGGCAATTATAACAGATCACAAGAGTTATAGTCAAGCAATATCTGGAGGGTCATAAATTGTCCGTCCTTCCTGATAAAAATTCAAGGTCTAGACCAAGATGTAATGTCCAGAGGAGATGCTCTTGGTCTTGAAATGGCTCACTTCAAGAAATAAGACATAAAGCACTGAAACTTTGAAGACAACCAAGACTTCTATTATATTTTGAGGCATATTTTATTAATAGTGGGAAAAATACCTGTGTGATGAAGGCTTGGATCATTTAGATTTCTTAGTTCATCTGCATATGTTTCTAGAAAACAGCAAAAACTGCATAAATATATTTCTGCATGTGTACCTGTGATGTTAGCATTTTACACAATCTTGAGACCACATGTTAGTAGCCATAGGCTCATGATAAAAAATATGTTCCCATCATCTATCTCAGGAGTAACTCAGAATGGCTTTTGAACTCTCATTGTTAAGAGAAGGGGAAGTTCTGGAATATACAATCTGAAACACATCAGTTAGGATACTGACAGTTCCTTTTTGTATGACACTCAGGTGCGGTTTTACAATATTATTTCTTATATTGAAATCATTTCTAATATCACTCAATTTTTATCTTCAATCTGGACTTTTTAAACTTAATAATATTGATAACAGGGTTTTGAACTATTACTAAATGATTCTCTTATTTAGTAATTTCCCTACTCCATTCACAGAATCTTATGGGATGGAATATCGAGATAATTGTTGTCTTCTATTTATAAGCCATGCTTTCTATTTTTAAGCCGTGTTGCAGAGGAAAGAACTGTTAAGCCATGTTGCAGAGGAAAGAGTATTCGTCCCTAAGAAAACCCTTTCAAATTCATGATGTTATCATAAATCAACAGGCAACTTGAGGGCATTAAAACACACAAACAAATTAAGTTACAGCCACTGACCTGGGCCTATTTTAGAACTTGAAGTCACTTTAAAAACAACAACAAATTAGAAGTATCTAAAATGTTTGCCCCAAGAATTCCATAAAGATTTTAAATGATCAGTTTACCATGTGGACTTTGGTCCACTTGCTTTACAACATCTGGGCGTGAGTTGCAGGTATTGAAAAGTGGGTAAGTATACCATGTGGAGACCCTCAAATGACACCAACTTGCTGAAGATACCCTCTCCTACTGAATTTGGATCCTGTATTGAATTTTAATTCCTTCTGGGAACAAAAGTGGTCCTTCTATTTACAAAGGTGTAACTCTGTATCAAATTTACAGCCTCATCAGGCGGGGTGAATTTAGTGTCCTAGGATACTTTCACCCCACCTGGAGGATGGAACCCCACGACAGACATCACATTACATTGTGTGAGTTTTGGCAGAGGTCCTGTTCCCTACGGAGGTGAAAGCTTGCCGTACACTTCCATCCCAACACAGGAGGCCTTGCCAGGAGGGCAACACTTTCACCATGTGATGGGAAAAGCATAGCCGAAGGGAGCTGTGTGCGGGGAAACAGATTCATTCCAATGCTCCCTCTTTTCTCCTGGTTTCCAAAGCTTGGGAATTTTGTAATGACAAAAATGGAAGGGGGAGGATCGAATTTGTGCTAATTATAGCTCAGATAAATATTCGATCCCCCCTCCCACTTTTGTCATTGATTTGATTAGAATAAACAATCTTATAAATTCTATGCATCTTACTTTAGAGAAAAAAAAACTCACCCAAACCATGCCATTCTGCATTTCTTCTGTCTAAAGAGAAGCAAAGATATTTTAGAGATTTCTGCGACCATATCTGACATGCAGAACTACAAAGAAACTAGTTACAAATAAAATATTAAGTGTAATTGACACTTTACCCTAGTAGCAAAGACACAATGACATTACATTAAATTGCAATTACAGGGTGAGGCAGCATAACTTCCTTTTTTAAAATGCGTGCCATTCAGTTGGTTGAAGACGTAGCAGAGTGCTAGTGGTCTCGTTGAAGCGGTGGGAGTATAAAGTTTTGTCTTGACACAGTTCAGTCGCCGTCATGCATTGGAACAGTGAGGAGCGTGCTTTTATTTATTTATTTGGAGTGCTTCTATCCCGCCCTTCTCAACCCCCCTTCTCAAACCCCCTTTGCCATTGAGGCCTACTTTTTGAGTGGATTTGGAGTGGTCAGCCCAGATTTGGCCCCTTGTGATTTTTTTCCTATGGGGTTTTTTGAAATCCCTTGTTTATGTGAACCGTCCAAGGACTCTACAAGATTTGAAGACCAACATCCAGGAAGAAATTGTAAACATAGAGCCTGCTATGCTGGCAAGAGTCATGACAAACACCAGAAATCAGTTTACTCAGTGTATGGAGAATGGGGGACGTCACCTACCTAATTTGATCTTCAAAACTACATAATACAAAAATTTAGGTATGCACCTACATTATAAAAAAAATTCTGATTCATACAATGGGTTTTATTAAGTTTTGAAAAAAGGAAGTTGTGCTGCCTCACCCTGTATATAATAACGAAAGATATAGGTATTAACTTCTTTTGAGGCATGACAGTAACTTGATAGTTACTTTTATATTTAGGAGTATGATATAAAAAAGGTGTTGACTTGTGCTGTGTGGATACTCAGGCAACAAGGAAGTAGAAGCTAAAGTTTGTTGAAATGTACTAACTCCTAATTTGGCTTCAGAATAAAATTTTATAAAAGTGTATGGTAAAATATATCATTTGATGCTTTCATTTTATACTCAACTGTATTTTATGTTTTGATTATCTAAGTAGCCTGATGATTCACGTATTGGAGATGAAAGGCCTTGTACTACATTTTATGAGAATAAATCTGTTAGTGCTATTTATTATACATTTGTCATTTATGAAGGTTTAATGTATTGATTCCTCAAATCTGATGGCACGTTACCAGCCAAACATCATAAGTTGACCCAAGACCCACACTGTAACAGATACAATTTCTCTCTCCATGCAGTCATGGTGGCACGCCAAAAGCCAATTTAGAGTCAACTGGCACAATCTATGGCAAGAATTGCAGAAAGTTGTTTATTTACATACACACATACACGCACGCACACAAACACACACAATTCTCTGCTCCCATGAAACTCAAAGTGGGAAGTGATGGTAACATATATACAATAAAGGATGTTATCACACACAGCTCAGAAAACAGATTCTCCCATGGAAAATCCATTTCTACTGAGATGGGAGCATGGGAGCCTAGCTCCTCTCCTTTCTGCACAATTTCTTTGTAAATGTGCTTTGAGTTCATTTGCCTTTCAGCCAGGCCCGTAGCCAGGATTTCGATTTGGGGGGGGGGGAGTTTTTTTCAGGGGGGGTTTCGGGAGGGGGCTGAGTTTCAGGGGGGGTTGAGTCTGAGTGAAAGAGGGTCTACCCTAGCAAACCCTTTGTATCATTACCCCAGTACCCCCATGCATACGGGATATATTGAGTATGGTGATATGAATAAACATAACAGTTGAAATAATGCACCAGTAAGGCCTTTTCGCGAACCACCATGAGAATTTCGGGGGGGGGGGGGCTGAAGCCCCTCAACCCCCCCCCCCCGGCTACATGCCTGCTTTCAGCACATGCAGGGACATGACTCATGCCCCTGTTTTCATACATGCCCCGTACTTGTTATTTTTAAACTGTAGGAACTGCACAACTTTGGTACTTCACAAGTTCAGAACTATGCTCCCTGATCTCACATTTTATAGCTATGGTATTATGTATTATGGTATTAAAATAAGAGGGAGGGATGCTTCAAAATGTTAGAACTTTTAGTATAGTGTTTATTCAGCATTTGGATGGTACAAATTAACGTTTTCTTTAACTTTTCTAATGAGACAAGCATATGCGATGTGTAGAAGTTCTGAAAAAAAGTTGTCTTAAAAGAAAGCAAATTTTTACCTAAAAGGGAAAAATGGCCTGTTGGAAGCAAGGATGATTGCTATCTTTAAAAAAATGGAAAAAAGCAGTGATTGAGATGATCAGGAGGGAAAAGGTTTTTTTTTTTCTTTTGCAGTCAATTTGGCAGTCAGGGGGAGAAAGCTTATGGCTAGGAAGGACAGCTCATAATGAATGTCACACAGACACTTTGAAACAAATAGCTAAGATGCATTTTTCTCACCACAAAGTAAAATGCTTGTAAAGCAGGATGAAAGCAGGTTCAGAAGCCAAGAGACAGAGGGAACTTGTTTTCCT